AGTACAAACAATTTAGGCCTTATTTCATCACATACACCTGAGGATTATTGGCACCAGGTAGGGTAAAATTGAGAGTATTTTAGATGCAATAAACTCACCAATACTTCGTCTAGTAGCTCATAAATGAGGGAAAAGTTCAACCGGATTGCCTCCTCATTCAATAACCCACAGTAGTCCTTACACACTCCTGCAATTCTGACAGAGGATGGAGAGAGAGAGAGAGAGAGGTACCAAAAGGGGGTGAAAGTCAACATTAGCTGCAGCCCATAATAGGCAGTAGGCCTATGTAGTAAGATAACCAGTTTGGTGACGAAGGAAGAAAGATGGGGTATTGCACATACCTGGAGAGTAGCTCCAGTCCAAATGCTGGAGGAACGTTGAATTTCGTGGCGGCCACAAAGTAGAGAGCATTTCGTCTGATGTAGAGAAAGTGGAGTCCATCTCCTCCATCCTGAGCAACAGACACCAGACAATGGAATAGTTACTGTATGCATGAGTGTGAGTAGAGAGAGAACGAGAGAGAGGGGCGAGAGGTTACTAGGAATGGTGGTGGGTTGGTTTCCTTTGATTCCTTCCAGCTCCTGACTAGTTTGAAGAAAATCTCAGCAGCTCCCTTCGTCCCATCTCCTCTGTCTGGTACATAACTCAAGTCAAAGAAAAGGCTCTAGCTAGCATTCTTGGAACAAACAATGAGGTAGGAAGGCAAACGCAAAGAAAACAAGTCAACTACACAATTTCTATTTCGTTACTATACAGTTTTTTCTGTACCACATGCACATAAAGTTTCCTAGTGTTTTGCCTGGAACTGTGGTATATATATTCAAGCATAGCCCTGCCTCTGAGCAGCCCTAGCAGCTCAGTAGCTTGGTTCAATCTGTCTAGCTACGCCGAGATGTTGAATTAGTCAATCTGTTGAACAAGCTCTTATCCTCCGTTGTTTGTACCCTATGATTTGGGTGTTAGGGAGAGGGAATGACGTAATGGAGGTAGGATACAGTCCCTATAGACCAGAGTGTCTCCACGAGAAGAGAGAATGAAGAACTGCGACAACATCGCGCTCTCGACTCCGCCCACCTAGCTGAAATTGCGAAATTTACGCATGCGCACAACACAGGGAGTCATTTCGCAGTCTCGCGCGCAATGCTGCCCGGATTCTTCGCAAACCTTTTTATTATACATATCTATGGAAGTCCAACTTGCGAGACCATAAGTAGCAGTAATTACAATTATATTACATTGATTGTACTGATATACAGATATTGCCTGATATTAGCATTATGTGAGATGGTGAGATGATAAAGATATGATATATAGCTACACAGTTCATATGGTGATGTGGAAGAGAGATACAAAGTCAGGTGATCTTGCTACCACATGTTCAAACTCAGTAAACGAGAGACTTCCATCACTGATTACATCACACTCGGCTATGACATTCCCCGCAATGGCCTCCAGTTTATCTTCAGGAATCCTATCTCCTAATAGAATCACAAATCAGCAAAGAATTATTTTATCACTATTGGCTCGTGTACTTTGTTTCTGATGACTGCAAAATAAAGGGCATTGTTCTGCTTCAACCAAGTGATGGAACTTTTACTCAAATTACAACCTAATCTCTGAATAAATATTATCATGGCTCCAGGTAAATTACCAGTAAGAGCTTTGACAGTTTCTTTGATGTCGTCAGTGCAAATGATATTGTCGCCGTTGAAGTCGTATATTCTGAAGGCGTAGGCGGCTTTGAGATGGAGCGGCGCATTATCACTGAGCACGGAGAACATGTCCAGGAAATCTTCGAAATTTAGACCTGCTCCGTCGGTTGAGAACACCTCGCAAAGTTGCTCCTGCGAGAAAAAAGCGTTTCTCGTAGCCAAACATTTTCAAATTTGACATAAGAGGGGAGGGCGATAGGAAGAGACACGAAGAACTTACTTTGAAAGGGTTCTGCCTCATTTCAGGCATTTCTTGGATGAGAATGAAGCTAAGTCGAGTGGAAATGTCGCCAGTCGTCTTGTCCACTTCCCCTGCGCCCAGAGAGCAGAACCGTCGGTAGAGTCTGAGGATTTCCTTGCGAGAGAAATAGGTGCAGTCTTGATAGAGCTGCAGCTGCTCCTCGGTGAACGCCGGCCTCCGAAACGCAAGACCCATCTTTTCGTCTCAGGTTTGCAGTGTGCGCATGCGTGTTGCTAGGAGGTGGGGCTGGAGGGAAATTCCCCACTTGCAACCGACCAATAAAAACGCAGCTCGTACGAAATTCAAATTTTAGCCGCGCCGGCGCTTCACGTCTTCTCGCCGCGGCACAAAGTCGTATGGAAAACGGACGCCAGGAAGAGAGAGAGGAGGGAGGATGGCGGGAGGTTCCGGCTCTACTGAAGGCAGAAACAGTGCAGGCTGCAGTTAGGAACCATCTGGAGAGCAAGGGATTGGGTGCGCGCCAATTGGAGCCGAAACAACGTCTACGGCGACCGAGAATGGCTGGAAAAAAGGTAGAGGGAACCGTTTACGCGAGCTGGCCTGTGAATAATGTCTCTCTTCTTCCTTTTATCTTTCTGTCCCTTTTCCAGCCTCCTCTCCCACCACAAGTTTGGGTGTCTGATGAAAGAGTCTGTTTTGGAGTAGCTCTCGAGGCACCTCAGCCGAAGCAGCTCCTAGAGCCTCTGGATGGGCGTGGCATAGGGGTGTGGCTTCCGAGGGTGTTTGCAGAGTGCGTCCGTGTACTGAGAGAGAACGTGGGTGTTGCTGGGATCTTCAGAAAGAGTGGATCTCTCACCAGACAGCGAGTACTGAGAGTGAGTCTCAAATATGGTGTAGTGGTGGAACCTCTCTATAATGGAGACCTTCTAAATGATACACTTTTGATGTCACAGCGGTGTCCTTATTTGATATTGTACGAGGTCAAGGTGTATTTTCCTCTCACCGTCTCAGAGTACTCTAGAGTGTGGGGAGGAGCTGTCTTCCCCAAACGTCCACGACGTGGCTAGTGTCCTGAAACAGTACCTCCGCGAGATTCCGACACCTCTCCTCCCTCCCTCCATTGGCCCCGCCCTGGAGTGGGCGTGGTCTTGTGAGAAGGGAGAGAGGGTGGATATTGTGATGTGTGCTCTGCTACAACTGCCACACCCACACCTTCAGGTCTCATTAATTACTATCTCTTCTGCTATATACCATGAGACTTAGGTTCTTACATGATACAGTCTAACATTCATGATGCATGGAAACCATTTTACCTAAAGTTGCATGATGGATAGATGATCCTTTTTTCTGTCCCCCAGATGGCGAGGGAGTTATGTAATCTTATGTCACTAGTTGCCAGTCATCAGTCGCAGTCTCTCATGGATTCTCACAGTTTGGCTGTCGTCATGACGCCAAACATTATGCCGACTCAGCATTCTAATCCAGCCAATCTTGAGACACACCTTACAACCAGCACAGGTCTGTCTCCCTTCTTCCCTCCATTTTTGCAGTTTTTGAAAGTACAATTCTCATTTAGTCCTGTTTTTCTATTCTGTATGCACAGGTATCGTGGAGCTAATGATTGACCACGCCCACCTAATTGGTCTGGTGCCAGCTCACGTGATAAACCACGCCCACCAATTAGCCAAAATAAATGAGAGTGCTACCAGTAGCAACGAGTCACTAGAAACAGGAGATGCAAAGAAAGACAAACAGAAAAGAATCTCTGTAACTGGTGAGTCTAAATTTAGCAACAATAGTCTAAAATTATAACATAATTATGTCATCAGATAAAGTGCTGGGATGGGGTACAAAATTGATGAGCACCCTAGGGGGTGGGTCACGTGATGTTGTGGACTACACCCACTCACCGTTCGGCAGCAATGAAGATGGCGGTGGGCTCCAAATGGGAAAATCTCAGCTCTTTGATCCGTCACTCCCTCTTCACTCGCGAGCCACGCCCAAAACCCCTCGCAGCGGTCACAAACGACGTCGCTCCTTTCTCTCCGCCCGGAGACATACCGACGGTCGCCATGGACACAGGTCGTTATTCACCAATCCGTTCAGGGGTCCGACACTGAAAGGGGGAGAGTTTAGTCGACTTGGCAGTGCAAGGTAAGGAATCAATGTGCAGTGCAGTTGACCGTGGTTTTCTCCCAGCAGGTTATCAGAACGGAAGTTCCCATGGTTACAAGGCCACACCCCCATGACCCCTGACCCCGGCGTGCAGTTAGTTGGCTTCGGAGTCAGGTCTTCTCTCACAGGTACAGTGATACATGGGACACCATGGGACTTTGGGACTCCCTTATTTGGATGGCAGAACCATAGTTGTCTTTTTGTCTTTTATCAGAGGTTTTACTCTTACTTCAGGTGATTTTACTGATGGGGATTTCCCCAGCAATGTTACCGTAGGCAACCCTATTGCCATGACACCTGTCCTTGGCAACAACGCTCTTCTGGCTTCCCTCTCTGAAGAGAGTGTGAGTCGAGTGGCGGTGGGAGAGGGTGAGAAGGGAGAAGAAGGGGAGAGGAAAGGAGAGAGAATCATTAACGAGGGGGTGGAGCCTCCAAAGACGTACTCTGTTGTGTCCAGGAAGCACTCTGGGAAGAGAATGAGGTGTGAGGAGGGGGAGGAGGGAGGGGGAGAGGAGGGAGGGAGGGCGATAAAGAGAAGACACACCATTTACACGTCCGGGTCTCGAGAATCTCTCGCAGAAGTGGGTGTGGTCGGAATAAGAACGAGCAAATCAGCTACAGCTCTCGGACAGACAAAATCTGACCTGAGTCCAGGGTTCACTTTCTCAAAACCAACTCCTCAACGCTCTGCTTTTCCACGTACTCCACGCTCTGTTGTTCCCGTGGAGACCGATAAACAAGATGTCACCATGGATACAACAGCCCCGCCCACCTCATCAGGAGTTCGGTTCACATTTTCTAACCCAAGACTCTATGTTGCTAAGAAACGATTGGTATCCGTTGGCAACAGCGAGGCGGGAAAGGGAGGGAGTGAGGGAGATAGGGTGTGTGGAGCATCACCAATCCCCCATCTTCCCGAGCTAACTCCTCACAAAACTCCACATGTCAACAGGCGAAGCTCTAGTTTCACAGCTGCAGCGACCCCCGCCCCCCGGGGCAGGCTAAACGAGGGGTTCCTCAAAACTCCATTTCCCCGACCCTCTGCAGGTTCCCCCAATTTGCTCCAACAGATCAGCTCTGAGCTGATAGAGCGGTATCCTCAAGCCACGCCCCTTGCCACTCCCACCATCGGGGCGGGGCTTGGGATGAACGAAAGCTATCGCCAGGCGGTATACTCCAGACAACTTATCAAACCGATTTCCCTGGAGTTCACCGTTACTCCAGACCCCGACATGAGCTCCGAAATTGTCCAAGAAGTCTCCTTCACGTTCCAACTCAACCACTCACCGGGTCGTCATAGCAACACAAACAACCCTCCGCACCCTAGCAATACGGAAACTCGTGTCCCTCTCTCTCCGAGTTGTCACGGCAACACGAACAAAACCCCGCCCCCTAGCAACCCAGCAAAACGTGTCCCCCTCTCTCACAGACGGCCTGTTGTCAGGGAGTTGAGACCACAGAAAGCTCCACTGCAGCGTAGGTTTGCAATGACTCCACTTCTCACTCCGAGGGCACCGCGATTTACTGACATCTCCTCTCCTTTCACCTCCGCTCCTACAGCAACTGTTGCTACGGGGCAGAAATTGGCTAGCAAGACACCAAGAGTTGGCAGGTAATTGGAATTCCTCTCTAAGAAACCCTGAAAATGAGGACACCTCTAATTTCAGGACACCTTTCCTTTCCTCAATAACAGTTCTTAACCCCTGAAATAAGGGTGCCTCAGATAGTAAAAATTTTTTATATCCCCCATTGGTTGTATATCTCTCTCGTAGTTCGTTAAAGTGTCTAATCATGTTCTTGCAGGAGAGCTCAGATGTACGTTATTCCCTCCACTGGTAGCCATGGGAACAAGGAAAACATGTGCACAGACGTACCGACTAGAGAATGGGTTGTGTAACATTCTCCCTCTTCCTCCGTCTATCTCTCTCTTTTTCTGACCTCTAACATGCTTGACTAATAATATTGCTATTTATATTGACACATACTATATACAGGGCTGCATGAACACAAGGTATGTATAGTCACAAGCAACAAACACAACTGCACGGCCAAGGTGGAGAAAGAGCTGCCTTAAGTGGGACTCAATCCAAAATAAGCGTCAAAGTTCTGAAATTTCATACTTGCGTTCGCTAGCCAAAAATGCATTGGTCTTATAGTAATGGTGCGTATTTAATAATTATAATTATGTATATACATGATTCCAGCTGGTACAAGTCAAAAGCAATACAGTGTGGAGTAAAAATACATACAACTAATTATATCGCAGATTGTTCTATTTTTAGTATCCAAGGTCATTGCATCATTGACCAAATAAGGTGGTTGTCATCAGTCGATGGAGAGATCGGGAAACATCTGAACTTTGTACTTGTAGTTGATTTCATATTTAACCCATCTCTCAGGGTTATGCCCCTCAGCCTTGAATGTCCGGATCTGAAGGAGTTAATTAGATATTTAAACACTGACTTGCGACAAAAAAGGAAAATATTTATGGAAAATTTTGTGAATCTGTAATTTGCCAGTGGTCCATGCTCAACTAAGATGGTTAAACAAAGGGATACATTTTCCATCTAATCTTGTTAGTTTGAGGCGCCCAAAAGATAGTCAGCAGCCCAGGCAATGACATGTCTCAGTTCCATACCTCGAGACCAGTGGAGCTGCCGGGAATGGAATAGGACACCTCACAGTGTTCATCAGTGATTGTCGGCCTCGTCATGCCTGCAGCACAGAGTGAAAGAAAAATAGACTGTTCATTGATAGTCAAGTACACGCATAAAAACATGTTTCATAGTAACTCGCATTGTAAGTGCCCCTTGGGCCCTTTACACGTAGCATTCTCGCTGCACTCAGAACGCTACAACACAAGGGCCCTCGGGCTTCTAGCGTGTAGTTCTCACGGACTCTCGCGGTCTATATAGTGGCTATATGGACCTTGTTTGAGTTGTATGTTGCAGCGGAAGGTGTGGGCAGTTTCCGATCTCTGGTAGCTCCCAATTCTCCACACCACTGCCGAGTGCTCCGACTCGTACTTCGCTGATCCCATGTACACCTGTAGGTGAAGAACCAGTGAGGGAGGGGTTAAAGTAATGTATAAACACAACCAGTGAGGTATGGGTTAAAGTAATGTGGAAGGGTTAGGGTTAAAGTAATGTAGGAAAAGAAAGTGAGTGGGGGGTTACAAATGTAGAAAAATCAGCACGGGTGTAATGGATGATAAATGCTGTGAGGGGGGGTGGGTTAAAGTGAAAAAAAAACTAGTGTAAGAGGGGTTAAACTATGCGGAGAAATGGGCGAGAGAAGTGTTAAGATAGTTTAACTACTCTTGTGTTTTTGAGAAGTTAGTGGTGAGGGGGTTAACCTGAATATAGGCGGAGGAGCTGCGGACCTTTCTCCTGAAACTGCCGCGGAGGGCACTAGTAGATTGGACCGACCTTTTCCCCCCGAACGGGGAGTCTGCCATAAACAGGCCTGACCAGTTTGACGGAACGGGAAACTTGAGCATCAGGTTCGAGATTGGCTCCTGGCGAACGTCGAACTTCTTTCGGACACTGAATTTCGCCGTCATGGAAACGGTGTTTCGCGGCTCGTTGTACTCCATGAGCGCTGTCACGGTGATTGGTGGGCTTTTGTACGGCTCCACGCTGGCGCGGAGTACCTCGAATGGGTAGCCGTCAATTGGAGTAAACACGAGCTCCCTCGTTGCCTTGTACTGTGCCTGGTCCACGCAGGGGTGAAGAACAACATCGGTCAGTCGAACCTGGCGTGACATGCTCGTCGTCATGCTACCTCGCCCTAGCAACAGAAGAGCTTCGATGTCATTCAGCACTAGGCGACACTGCGGCAGATTCGTGATAAACGCCTGGAGGTAGACGCGATCAAGTGACGTTCGCTCCAAAACGGCTCCATCGCAATTCATGAGTATTTCGGCCTGATCTTTCACGTCGACAAACACCTCGTTCATTCTGTAGGCCACGCCCACCTGGCGATTGATGGGTAGTTGACGTATCGCCTCGGAGATGGTTTCCGATAGCGACGTGATTGTTGTCAGGTCGGGACAGCCGATCTTGACGACGGTGTGGACCCTAGTGACGTGGTCGACAAACAGCCATCTTTTGAGAGTCCTCTTCTCCTGGATTCTTGACTGGCGAAGCTTTATCTGCAGACATCATCACATGTAACTCAATTGGTAGACATTAAAATCAAACAGTCTGGGCTATTGCTTGCTAAATTCAGTTTTTTTCTTACACTAACAGGCTTAGACGACTGTTTTCACTAGACGCCTAATAAATAGGGATACATGATTTACTGTAGGAGCAAACAATACAAAATAAACATAAGTTTCTGCAAAAACAAACGATGAACAAAGCCTTGAAAAGAAGAGACATAAACAAGAGAAGTGGCAGGAGAAACAGAGCTGATGTGATGTATTGACTCACCTGATGGAGTTTTGTCTTCCTGTCGTAGGATCTGGCGATTGGCTCCGTCATGGTGTGGTTGTGACTCAGTCTGAACTCATGGATGGGAGGAGAGGGAGGGAGAGGAGAGGAGGAGGAGGAGGAGAGGGAGGGAGGGGAGGACTTCTTTATCACCAGCTCCCCGTTCTTTACATGGACACTCACTGGCAGCCATTTGCTCCTGAAAGAAAGAGAGGGAAGGAAGGGTTTTGACAGCAAATTCAACTGCCTCGGGTCTCCGTACGAAGGGCCAATGCACACAAAATCCCTGGCACCACAAATAAATTGTAAATCATATTCTATATCATACATCCTTTCCTACATGTTACAGAGGGGTTGAAAAAAGGGTGCTACGATAAAGGGAGGGGTTAAAAGTGGTTGAAAATCAGTTGAGGTATGTTGAAAAGGGGAGTGATACCAAGAGAGAGAGTGGACTGTGGGAGTGTCCCGTGGAGTAGTAGTGAGTACAACTACATACTACAGCCAGGGAAGAACAAGAGTTACGACATTCGACTGGAGACCAGGAATGTCGTCCCACACACACCCTGCATCTGCTGCCTTCACACACCTCCATTTTACTGTCACCCTCCGAATGAGGGTTTGAACGGTTTGGCATTTTTTGCGTTTACGTCCCGCAACAAAATGAGATGCCAACCATCCCTAATCCTTTGACTATAGTTGTAGTATGGAAAGCAGACTAAACTTCATCGCTGTACCTATCCTCATCGATCGTTTTCTCGCCCCAATTTCTGGTGGGATCTGGGTGCAAGACTCTCGCTCCCTGGCAACAGTTGTGGTCAGTAAAGAGTCGACATGGAAGCCACGAGAGACGATGTGTTGACTGTAAATCCCAGTGATGTTAGGGAAAACAGAGGCCTTGCTAGTCACACACCACATTCCTGTCTTGCCTGCCTTCTGCCAAGTACCAGGTACATACACCACCCCTGCCTCATGGTATACCATGGGACTTCTCTCTAAGGACGCTTCAGTTCTACTTTTCTTTCCCCAAGGACCATCTGTTTAACCCCTGAAAACAAAGACACCTCACATATATACACACACATTCTGTCCCATTGATGCCTGGATTATAGAGCCTCCCTCTATTATACCTCTTTCATAATGGCTTTTGTTCTGCAATACATGTATATAATCTGCTCTTCCCCACATGGTATATATCAATACTGGGAGGGACCGGCAATTAACATACATAGGCCTGTATAAAATTTAACCCCAAATGCACAGAATTTCTCACTTAACCCTCTCCTCACCGAGTTCCGGGAACCCTCTTGTTCATCTTGACCAAGACTTGCCATTCTCTCTCCACATTGTACCTCCGACTCAGCTCGTCCTCGTTAGCGAAGGGGCCTCCCCCTCCCCTCGACGGATCTCGGTCCAGACTGGTGTTGCTAAGGCGACGCTGCTGTTTGAGGGAGTCGACAATCTGCACCTTGCGATTGGTGGTGGCACGCATGCTGCGGGTGAGTCTGTACGGCAAGTTCTTCTCTCCCTCCTCGTCCTCGTCATCATCAAACGGGGCAACGCCTGCACCGAGAGCAGTCCATCCCGAACTGACCATTGCGTCCGCTGCACATACTGGTCCCGTCCCATCCGCAGATTGACCGGCCGGTTTAGTTTTGGGATCCAGTGCAGTTGCACCGTCCGCTGACCCCCTGGTTCCATTGGTTTCCGCGTCCCGAGTTCCCTCGCTTGTCCCGTTGCCCGAATGCTCAAATGTCTCCCACTGAGACTGCGAAGGTGCCGGCTCAAACCTCTCCCACGTACCTGTCGTCGTGGCAACTACCTCAGTCTCCTCAGTGGTTTCCATGGCGATGAGTTGGTCCCTTCCCACCCCAGACGATGCCTGCCGTACCTGCCCCACCCTATCTCTCTCATCCAATCCCTCGTCGTCAGTGTTCAGATCCATCTCAGCACCGCTGACGGTGGAAGTGGTGGAAAATTGTGGACTGGGAGCTCGCTGGACCTCTAGCTCTCCTCCCTCCCCATCCTCCACCCCGTTTTGCTCCCTTTTTGTGTCATCAAAGTCCAGAAAGACATCTTGCGGGACGTCTGGCGGTGGTCGCACGAGGATCACTTCCGGAGCGTTCGCCATTTCACTCACAGATCTTACGGTAATTCACAGCAACGCTCGCTCCAAGTAGATTCACTGCCAGAGGAAAAGAAGAAGCGAAGTTTGCAGCTACAATCGTTTCTGTTGTTTTTAGGTAGGTTATGTCGACATACCAGGGCAGCTGATGCCGGCAGGTACAAGATCGCTGCTGTCCGACTGCAGCTGGGCTAGAGACTGAGCCAACGATCTGGCGGCCCCACCTTTTACAGAAGGTGAGAGCGATCAAAAATGCACCGCTAAGCATCGACCGCAGGCATGCGATCACTTCACACTCTGCAACGAGACGTTATAACTCGTGCACACTCCGTAATCTCCCCGGATACTCTCCTGCGCGTGCACCGATCGAGCCCCACCCCTCTTTTCCTCATTGGGCTTTTCGCTTTATTTTGAGGCAGGAAGACGCGATGGCGTACCCAGGAGACGGCTACAAGATGTCGAACTACGGCCACAAGACCTACACGGCCGAGCAGACGAAAGAACAATGGCGGGAGAGCTGCACGCGAGAGCGCAGGATCTGCGAGGGACACAGAACCACGAGGCCGGCGAGAAGAGAGAGCGGGGAACTCGACACGGGCCCATCCCAGATCGCCAACTACTTCAGCACTCGCAAGACGCACGCAAAAGTCTGGAGCTACGACCGAACTTTCAACATGGAGGAGGGTTACAGCCAGAAACTAAAGAGAGACGATCTCCAACACACTCAGGTACAGTTCCTATAAGGTTTCATATTTTGGACACTTCAGCGGACGCACAAATCTGCATTGTGAAACAAACATAGTGCCTGAAGTTAGTTTCATATAGCTATAATAGCTATCTAACTGTCCCTGAATGTGGAGGTGATATGAAAATGAGCCTCCACTAAGGATTCGGCTTCAATCTGAGAAGAAATGCTGAATACGAGGCTCCACTCTATATATATATATACCTGTGCAGGGACTGGATGTGGTGGGGGAAGAGAGTGAGAGAGATGTGCCATTGTTGGCCAACTCAGTCTACGGACACAGACCTCCTCTGGAGACTCCCGACCGACTCCATGTGAGAATTGGTCTGGTGAAGAGAGAGTTCTACCGCACAACTGGCATCAACATTGGACAGAACTAACCCAAACTGATCACACTTCTCTCTCTTTCTCGGTATTATGACTAGAAATTTAGTGCATACGCATTGTTCCAAGTTGCTATTGTATAAGTAAGGGCCTCATTAATGTATTACAGGAAACCCATAAATGCTGTCCCAAATACTATAATTGCTATTATACCGTACATTCAACATTAATGGTGAGCCTGAAAGATCGATCGGGGGAACCCATGACCCCAACCTTTCGTCTTAATCCGCTGATCACCCTCCCACTCTTCGCATGCTGACAGCAGGTGACAATTACTACAACTGATCATGTCAAAGCATGTATTACACAACTAGCAATAGTACGAAATCATCAGCTAGCAATAATGGCAGTCAGTAATAGAGTTCCAATGGTCGGCGTCAGTAGCTGCGACCGAAGAGAGTGTAGAACTTGGCCACACCCCCACAGTCGGGTCTGACGCACAGGGTCCCGGGGGTCAGAGGTCGCGGGGGGTCAAACGGAATACAGAGAGCCTTGGCGCCCATGGCGGGAGCCCCTGGTTCCACGTCCTCACCTCTGCAGGGAGGAGAAAGAAGCAACTGGTTGATACATTCTCTAGTGGTGGCATACGTAAGCGCTCTGCGTAAGTGAACAAACGAAAGGAGAGGCAGTAACCTAGCACTCTCTTTCTTGAAGAGTTCCTCGCAGGGGGTTTCCCCACAGAAGGGGGTCACTAGCAGCTTCTTGTTGTCCAGAGCTCTGCACACCTCATCCCAGGTTTCCACGACAACCACTCCCGAGTCCAGATCAGCCTTTGCCCTGCAGATAGATCATCACCATTGTACAGCCAATCCTCTCAAAAAGGGACAGTTTGAGACATTGAAAACATGTATACAAGTCATGTATCACTAATTTTTTTCACACCTGCACCCTACAATGCATGGGAGCTATTTATGCATCTACATAATGTAATGGTTCGTTTGTCCGCCAGACTAGCCATTTTATTTCGAGGCGTCCTTTTTCAGCAATAGAGAAATGTCTTTTCAGAGGTTTCACAGCAGTGTAATATCCACCTTCTGAACAATTCCTCGTGAATGCCGTCCAACATTGCCTGAACCTTGACCTTCACGTCTCCCACGGCAACCATTTCTCTGTGATTCCTGTCCACTCTACTCACCAGTACGTACTCCCCTCTCTCCTTCTCTCGAGGCCCCACCTCCATTCGTAGGGGAACTCCCTATAGCATAATAATTACATCATAGATACAATGATGTCATTGTGACATAATATCTACCTTTAGCTCCCAGTGATTGAATTTCCAGCCGGGAGAGTAGTTGTCACGGAAATCACCACGGCAATGGTACCCGGCTTCCTTGAGGCAGTCGATGGCATCTTGGCAGTAGGAGATGAGATCCGACCTCTCCTGGTCAGAGGTGGACGCAGTAATTCCACATGGCACCACTATCACTTGTACCGTCGCCACTCTGGAGGAGGGAGAGAAACAAAACTTTTGTGCAGCGATCGCAGCCAGCAACAACAGAAAGAGCAGAAAGCTCAAGAGATTCATAAAGTTTGTGTTTCTGGTAAAGTTGCAATCCTACCACGACATCTGTTTATACACACAAAGAGCTGTCCTGGGTGTGGTTTGTTGTGACTTTGCCTTTCTACCTCGTAGTTCACATGCAATACATGTATATACCTCGGAGGAAGAATGAGGCCACTGTTATCACCATGCACCATCGTCATGACACCAATTGTACGAGTCGTTAAGCCCCACGAATTCTGATAGGCAAATTCATGTTCTCCTTCCTAGGCATAGATAATGATATTCATGACACACGCGAAAACCACATTCAGACTTGGTGATTAACCTTATCTGGGTGCTCAAAGACAATGTTGAACATTTTGGAGAAATTCTGTCCCAAATGATGTGACGTTGCTGCCTGCAGAAAATGTTCACATCTCAAACCTTATGTAATTGTTTGCCCCGCCCACTCAACCACACCCACCTACCTGTATTCCCCGCCCACTGGCGGAGATAAAGGCCTCGATGGTAGTCGTATAGTCTCCTCCGGCAAACTTCTCCTTCTCTGTCTTCCTCCCAGGGATGACTGGAATCGCCAGCAGCTCCTCGTACACTGCCCGATACAGTTGCAGTATCTCCATCACCTGCAGTGAAACAATGACAGCTATGTTTACCGGTTACCGTGGATACGACCTCTGACCTCAGCCTCGGCGTCTGGTTTGTTGGCGAAGGTGCTGTGTCCCTCCTGCCACAGGAACTCTCGTGTTCTGAGGAACGGCTGAGGATGTTTGAACTCCCACCTCTGCCAGGACAGAGTACACCATCATACACATATCCCATTACTCTTACCAATTCTCATTCTGCTACTCCCACTGAATTCTTTCCACATTCCATTCCCCATACTCCGTTTAGTTACCCCACACCCTCATTACCCCAAACTCCACTACCCCATACCCATTCCCCCATTCCAGAACCTACCACGACGTTACACCACTGGTTCATCCTGATGGGGAGGTCCCTATGAGATTGGACCCACTTAGCGATGGCTGGGTACATGACGGTCTCGGAGGTCGGCCGCACCGCAATCGGCTCTGCTAGCTCCGAACTACCACTTCTCGTCACCCAGGCAACCTAGATGGAATTCAATTAGGCATCATCGCCATGGAGACTGGTGACCCCTGACCTCTGGGGCAAAATCGGCGATGTGATCTTTTTCCTTTTCGAGGGCGGCACGAGAGACAAACATGGGGAAATAGACATTTTCGACTCCCGAGGCCTTGATGCCTTTGTCAAAGAATGCTGAGGAACAGAGAGAGGGGAGAGAGAGAGAGTTGAAGAGAGAAGTTGCATTTAGCTATAAGTGGGAAATTTGCAAGAAGAAATACGTCGTACAGCAAAACTTTTGCGCTCTCCAATTTTCGGCCCTTTTTCAAGAAACTTTGTCGATAAAATCTTGTCCACTACATGTGTATGTAGTAAGTGTGAGATATGCAAAATGGAAGATGAAACGAGACCTTGTATCTTTTCCCAGATGGCGAAGGACCACGGTCTCAGGATGTAGCATCCACTGACGTCATAGTACTCCACCATCTCCGCCTTGGTGATCACCTGACACAGCCACACACGGTTTAACCCCTAACCCACTCACTGTTTTAACCCTTTACTGACCTGCGTGTACCACTCTGACAAGTTCTCTTCCTTCTTACACTCCATTCCAAGCCTATAGGTACATGTATAAAGAAAATAAAGCTACACACATCATCACATGGTAATATATATACGATGGTTAGAAAAAACGCAAGAAAATGATTTGAACCTCAAACTACGTATGGAACTTGTTGGTAAACAGCACATTCTTAAAAGTTGTCTTCCTTAAACATGGTTAACAAACCTTGTCTGTTTCTTGCGTCCTGCTTCTCCCTCAGCCTCTTTCTTAGCAGCTGCTGCGACTGTCTCAGCCTGTCTCTTCTTCTCCTTCTTCTTCTCCTTGTCCTTCTTCTCCCTTTCCTTCTCTCTCTTCTCCTTCTCTTTCTTCTCCTTGTCCGGCTTGCCTCCTCTCCTCCCCGCACTGGCAACAAGATCTTTACCTGTTAGGGACTTGTACTGTGCCTTCAGACTCAGCAATGACGCTACCTTTGCGTCTATCACCTCCTGAATGATGCCATCGTTACGTCATTATGATGTAATGCAAAGTCATGTGACAAACCTTGCTGGCACCGCTCGCTTTGAGAGATCGGACTTTCTCCCCTTGAACTTCGATCTTTTCCTTCACTTGTTCCACAGCCTCATCGTTAAAGAGGGTGTGGTCAGCCGACGACTTTAGCTTCTTGATTGGTTGCTCTGGCAACAGCGGTCCATCAGCCTTCTTCTTCTACACGTAAACAAAGAAAGAAGGAATAGATACTTCGCTTGTTTTGGCTGTTGCGAATCGTTTCTTCAAATTGTGTCAAAAAGTGGTCTAGTTTCATATGTACAACTGTACACATTTCTGAAATTCTAAGTATAAAAATTTTTTCAAGAACTACAAGCAGTTAAACTATCAACTATGAGTGGTTTGGTATCCATGGTAACTGCTCACGTACTGTACCTTGCTGCCAGAGGTGGGCATTGGTTTTGTGTGTCCGTCTGGAATGTGGAACAGGACACAGGGTGACTCCAGTCCGGAGTGAACGGAACGGGGATGGAACGGCTCGTCACAGATGAAGAATCCTCTCCTCTGGAGTTGGATGATGTCACCTTTCTGGACGCCGTGGAGACAAGGATCCCCCATCATCTCGTACTCCACCTGGACACAATGGAATTTTCACAATATGTGTTATGTTGTTCTCAAACATATGGCGCAACCTTCATTTCTGCAACTTCAGTACAATTTGCTATTGTGTATGGTCTGAATTTACAATGGTGCTTTTTTCAATGCTGGTTTGTATAAGTGAGGTAGAATAGCAAAAAGTGCATACTAAATGTGAACGTATAATATAGCATATGCAGCTAAAGCAAGCAGCTGTGAAATACCATGGCGTGCCCTAAACAAGGTTGCCGTGGTTATGTACCTTTGAGTTGTAGTTGATGTAATCCTCAAAGTTGTCCTCAGGTTTGAGAACTCCCTTCGTTATGATGTGATCAAAGTGGTAGCAGATGGTGGGTGTGGTCTGGGCGGGGCCACAGTCTGCCAGCCAAGTCAACTTCTGCGTGTTCTTGAACTCAGTATTCTCCAGAGCCAGCTCCCCTTCCAACAACACCACCTTACCCTCACGCCTGATTAGTGGGTGGGGCTTGTTTACTAGTGTTGCCACGGTGATAATTGTGTATTACCTGGTAACCTTGGATACGAGGACGTTCCCCCAGTTGAGTAGGGTGACAGTTTCTCCTTCTTGGAGTGTTTCTGCATCAGCTCCCTCCACAAATATCTTCTGAGAGTACCACACCTCTTTCTGCCCCACCTCTGGGTTCTGTGGATCACATGATGTCATGTGACTGTCACATGATCAGAGGTGTACTGCACCTTTGGGTGTCTGGGGTGGAGTTTCATCTCCTCTTTTGTCCCTGCTATTACCATGGTGACGACTTCTGACTTGAGCAATGCAGTGTAACGAGGAGCAACTGGATCTATCACCCTGGCAACAGATACAGGAATAAACAAGTGGTGGCTTTATGAAATCTAAAGTACGAGAAATATTCCGAAAATCATGGATTATATGAAAGCAAACATCACCAGTTTGTAGATATGCAGGCCAACTGACTAATGAGAGTTTATTTCATTAAATATTTTTTATCCCGGAAGAAGTGTCTATTCACAGACAAAATTTAAATGCAGTAACACTAAAAGAGATGTACGTACTTGCGGTTGCAGGCCCATATCTTGTCCCACTCCATCATGACAATGGCTCTCGATGAGCCCTGTGCCATGATGAAGTTCTTCAGTCCTTCCACTGTCATTCCTCTCCTCAGGATACCACGCACCGTCGGGAAACGAGGGTCGTCCCTGGCAACAACATCATCAATCAACAACTGCAAACCTATTCTTCTGCGCCTTTCTCCTCAACATTCTCTTTGCACGCTTGCATGTTTTTTTTCCTCTGTGCATGAAAATGTTTCTTTAACTGCTTCAACGTGTTTGCATGTTTTCTGAGTGTTTTTCACTGCTCCACAATTTTTTGAACAAGAACTCTTACGCAACACAATCATTTAGTGAGTGAACTTGCCCTTGCAAATAATAATCACAAATACATTGCCCACACCCACCAGCCAGTGACGATCCCCTGATCAACGATCCACCTCAGTTTCCTCTTCGACAGGACAGTGTTCTGGAGGTTGAGTCTGCTGTACTCATAGAGATAGGGAACCCTCATTCCCATAGCCTTCAGGACCCACGAATACAGCTCATCTCTGGCAGGGGAGGGGAGAGGGAGATGGGGGAGAGGGAGATGGGGGGACACTAGAACATAACACATATATTGGTCAGTGAACGTGAGTCACGGGGGGTATGTGCACAGCAGTGATCCCGAAATTCCAGCAAAATTTTAGAAAATGTGTAGGATGTTACGGTAAAGTTTTTCAACGTTGGAATGAAAAATTGCACAAGACTAGAGATGTATGTAGCAGGTAGCCCCGCCCCTAGCTCCGCCCACCTGTCCTGGTATTCCGTCGTCCTCATGGCATGGGTGACTCCCTCAATACTGTCTACTATGGAGATGGCAAAGTCATACGTCGGATACACCCTGTGGCAATATTAGAGAGAAAAAAATTATATATGAACTTATTTTGCAATGTGGGTGATGTCATTGTGCTTCGCATGAGAATAATTATAGGAAATGAGGTAAGTATCATAATGTGCTCACACTGCTTGAAACTTTAAAAAAACAAAAAATCAGAAAAACAATGTATATACTGAAATCCTCACTTGTATTTGGTGCCGGTGCGTGGGTGTGGCTCCAGCTTGCAGCGGTAGAGGGTGGGGTCTCGGAGAGCTCCATTGTCAGACAAATAATCCATCCTCCCCCGCACACAGCACTTGAGACCGACCTCTGACCCTTTCTTCATCTCCTCCCACAGAGACAGGTTCTCCTCAACACCTGGCGATGATGTCATCATGATGTAATAGTAATCACAGGAAAAATTGCAGTTGGTATAAAAATGCTCACTACTAGCAGTTGAATATTAAATGGCGCTACTCTATTAAGAGCACACCATTACATCAACATTACATCATGACTTACTCTGGTCTCGACAAGGGGACTTGATCCTTGCCTCTCTGTTGGCCTTCATGAGGTCAGGAGGTGTGCTGTCGACGAAGGCCTTCCCATCTCGCAGTAGTCGCTCCATCAGATCCAACAGTGTGTCGAAATGGTCACTGGTGTATGAGAAGATGTCCGGTTTCACCTGCCATTACATCACGGCGATATCATTGATGATTACATCAGAATGATGTCACATATAAAACATTACCTGGAGCATTTCCACGTCCTCTAAGATGATCTGAAAATGAGCAGCAAAATTTATAAGTGGAAAATGAACCTTCACATTGTGACGTTAAAGTTTAATTCAATAAAGCATTTCGTGGTTTCCCACGGCAACCGACCTTTTCGAAATGCTCCTTCTCTTTCTCGGGGTTAGTGTCGTCGAATCTCATGATCAGTTTCCCCCTGTAAGCCAGCTGGTAGTGCTGATTTACCAGACAGGCCTTGGCATGACCGATGTGGAGGTAGCCAGAGGCCTCGGGGGGAAATCGAACTACGACCTTTCCCATCTCAGCCATTGGCATCTCTGCAAACTGACCAACGTCTCTCTGCTTCGTCTTCTGCTGGCCAGGAGTGCAGAGTAAGGGAGAGAGAAACAGTTGTTTCAATAAAGCGTAGGACACAAATTCCAGTTGCAAGAATTGCTAATGGCACATTTGCATGCGATTGAAAAAGTCAACTTTTTGCTCAATTTGCATTGTGTGAAAGGGGTAGGCTGGCGCCCAATATGCTGGCATAATTTTTGGAATAATAGGGGCTTCCCAGAAAAAGCATAATTCTGGGAATAATAGGTCGGAATTAGGCGTTTGCGCGATCTTCTGCCGGAGCTTCTGCCCTTCCGCGGTTTTGCGTAAAGATGGAGAACTTACCCTGGATATCTTCACTGCAAAATGAAGCGCATCACTCCACGGGAAGGCTAGAGACAGCAAAACCGCGCGAACAAAAGTGCAGACTCGGCAATTTTCCTCGTTCTACACGCCCCCCTTTTTACGCAATTAGCGGATGCCAGCTCGAAGGGAATAATAGGGGCAGCGGGGAGGAATAATAGGAAAGATTTACGAGAATTGCGGAATAGAATAATGGGTAAAAAAATTAGCATAATGGGCTCAACCCTAGAAAGGGGTTAAAGAGAATACAGAGAGAAAGGGGTTAAAGACCTCCTCGAGTGGCAGGAGACGAGATGATGTCTTGACAGCCTGCCAGGTTCCACAATAGTCATACCATCTGCTGAGGTTAAGGTAGGGGGAGAGGGACAGGCTCTGGGAGACCACTGAATGGAGAGATAGACATGTAGGAACAGAGGGTTACGCAACACATAATGAGACAAGTGAAAACCTGGACAGGAAATGTATATATACTCACAGTGAGGAATTTAGAAATATTGACTTGCCTTCAAAAACAAGGTTTTGACTGAACTGACCTCTGAGACTGCTGTAGACGGCGATGTCAGCGAGAGAGAAATGGTAGCCGACGAGGAACACACGAGACACCAGAACTGCATCCAACTCTGCCAAGGTCGCGGAGGTCGCGGCTTGCTGGGTGAGCCTCGCCACACTGTACTCTAGCCAGTGGTCCACCTGACAGTCACATGATCAGATCATGTGAGAGTCACATGACCTGAAACAGTACCTCTGCCTTCTCCAGGTCGTTATTGCCATAAAGAGAGGGGCTTGGAGAGGGTGGAGCCATTCGGACCAGAGTCCGCGCCACAGCATGGGCTCCAGACACACACGTTGACCTAACAACACATTATATACAGTAATAATTACATTATGTTATAGTTTGAATATTAGAAGAGCATACCCGAGAGTAATGTTAGTCGCCTGGCTGTAGCTGAGTTCTATTTGGAGAGCATCTTTCAGGAGCTCCGCTACCACGTGCGGCACTGGATGAACCAGAAACGGTAGAGTTACGTCATTGCAAACGACGTCTGACAAAGACTCACCGAAACTGACCGCCGAGTTTTGCTGAATGCACACCTTCACAACCATCTTCACTCGCCGTTCAAAGAACTACACGGTTGGCTTCAAGGGCTGCACACCGTTCTATTTGACGCGCACTTCCATGTGTTATTGCGCATGCGCACAAGTGACGACCTTTCGACCTTTTACTCTAAATCAAGCACTGTTGCACGTGTGCTGTCTGAGGAGGATGATGCTGTTACGAGGAGCCACTTTACGCCGTCTCTGTGCCTTCTCCGTGAGGCCGTTCACCACAGCAGTGGACGTCGGGTCGCGGCCGGCCGAGATCGAGGGGGTTTCGGCTGGGCGCGACTCCAGTGAGGTGACGAGGTACAGAAGTTTTAGAGAATCCAACAGAAGTCGCACTAGAGCTCGAGTGGAAGGCCAGCTGCATTCCTTTCTCAGATCACGTGAGCCTGTCACCCTTAGTTTTATGGGTCTCTAGTGGGATCCATTGTTGTCCAGGCGATAATGAGCCGTGGAGTCAGGGGCCTCCCCGTGAGGCCTACTGGTTGCTAAGATCATGTGGGAGTGACATGATCCTTGAAACCATGGCGACGAGGATGGAACTTGCTAATTCCATGTGGGAGGAGTTTCAGAAACGAGGTTTGTCTACGAGTATAAATACATGCACAATAGAAGGTGATGGATTTGCTGTTTACAAAACTACAATGTTATGTAGGATTTAGTTGTTGGATCTTTTTTCACATAGTGTGACTTTACAAATTGTGCCCCGAACATTTTGTTACACGTTTTCTCTTTTCTCTCTTCTCTCTTCTCCCTCTTTCTCCCTCTTTCTCCTTCAGCCCCGCTGTCTGTTGGGATGTACAACACCCTACTGCAAGTCTATCTTCAGAATGAGCATAGATTTGACCCCGCCCACTTCTTGGAGGAAATGGAGAAAGCTGGTGTCCTCCCTAATCAGGTGAAGAAATCTCTACATGTTGTTTTTTGGACATTTTTGAATCCAAGTGAGGATCATATAAAAGCAATTTAACAACGCCCAGAACATTACATGAGGTGTTGCTTAATAGTATTGCGTATGAAAGCTGTTTAAATGCTAAAAGATCGTTGGTAGCCAATACTTCAGACTGAGTCTTTTTGTAAAGACATGAATGAGCAATGTCTGTATATACAGGGCACTCTAGTTGGGATCCTGAGCTGTTGCTGTAATGAAGGTGATATTGAAGGAGCTACCAAAATCCTGGATCAAATGAGGTCACTGGACATGGAAATTAATGAGAACATTTACGCTTCACTTATTACCGGTTAGTTTCTCCTGTCCGTTTTTCATTTATGATGAGTTCAGATTAGAGACAAGTTAAGTCTGAATGTTTAGTATTTTTCATTAGTTGGAGGAGTTTCTCTTTGTTAGGTCACTGTCGTCGTGGCGACATGGAGAATGGTGAGGGGATGCTGAAAGTGATGCAGGAGAATGGGCTGTGTCCCACGGCAACCAGTTATGCTGCTCTCCTGTGTGGCCATGCCGACCGTGGAGACATGGATAGAGTCGAGCAGGTAATTGGGATTTTCGTACTTTTAGTGAGGGAAAGAATTGGGAGTGACTGTGAAAAATGGGGTCGAAACTGTTCGTGCGCAAATTGGGGGAAGGACATGCCAACTAAACATCCTGACAACTGAGCATCCCCCCCCCACAGCTGCTAGAGGAGATGCGAGAGAGACGAGTCTTCCCTAGTGTAGGAGTCTACGCTTCCCTTCTCGACCGACTCTCTCTCAGTGGACACAGCGACCTACTTCCCCGGGCTCTCGACCTCGTCCCGGACAAACAACTGGTCTATAATGGTAACCATGGAAATAGACCACACCCCGTACATGTAATCTGTAACCGTGGAAACTGACCACACTTCTAACATAATAGTCTCGACTCCCCTAATCTTTTGTGAGCACAATTTTCTATAGCACGCGTGATGCAAAGTGTTCGTAAAAGTGTTTTGTTGTAGTAACGTGGGAAATTTTGCAAAGAGAATCATATTTTTAGGGCCATTTCATGCAAATTCTCCAATTCTGTGAATTTTTCTTCTCCGTCAATATTTCCCCATTGCCTATTACTCCACTGCTGATGCTACTGTGTGTCCAGATCTGTATGACCTGGCCTGCAAGTGTACCGTGAGGAGAGACAACAAGGGAACACTCATCATGCTCCGTTGCCTGGCAACCCTGGTTCCCAGGACAACCAACATGCAGCTGGGAGCTATTCTAATACGGGCTATGGCTTCCCAGGGACGCAGTAAGCCACACCCTCTGATGAAAACGACACCCACTAATTACTCTAAATTCTCTGCGCCTACAATTACTTTTTGCAAACCTCAATCATTTTTTTACCACAGCCGCATAATTAGTAGGCCACACCTTATTAATCAGACCACTCCCCTATCTCTGCCCAGTGCTGTCGGAGATGATGGTGATGGTTGCTGAGTTACAGGGTCTTGGATTTGGTAACCACGTGTACGAGGAGATACTTCACTCCCTCCACACTCGCCATGACGACCGAGATCAAGCCATGGCTGATGCCCTCTCTGTCCTACAGGACATGCTGCGCCATGTGAGTCTCATGTGATGTCATGTGAGAGTCATGTGATGTAGTTTGGCGGGCAAACATTATTAAGGACTTCCTCCTAAACAGGGTGTGATTGTGAAAGAACACTATTTCTATCCTAATCTGGCATACTATGCTGAGAAGGGGGATCTGGAAGGTGAGTTTCCATGGTTACAATGGGTCGTGTGAGAGTCGTGTGACTACCAGGAGCGGTGGAGGGTGTGGCTCTGATGAAGGAGGCGGGGCTAAAACTGAGACGAATGTCGTTCCGGTATCTCCTTCAGGCCTCCCGGGAAGGGGGTGTAGCCAGCGAGAGTGATGATTTCGTTGGTGACATGGACAGGCTACTTGCTCATATCAAGGTAGATAGCTGCATTTTCTAAGTTGTTTGCAATGAATGCCCCCCCACAGGGTACACCCCTCATGTTGAGCCTGGTTAACGAGGTCAGCGTCTTTCTCCTTGACAGAGGAATGTTTGCTAGGGCAGTCGAACGTTTGACCTCTGTGACCTCCGAACCAATTGACCTCGGACCTATTCTAAAGGCCATAAAGAACGGCGTCAATCAGTAGGTGTTTGGTGTTTATTATGATCATGTTGTCACGGCGATTGCCTCTACCTACTTTCAAGCTCAAAGGTCGTGGATATACCGGGACTGGTGTCTGTGTATGTCGCTCTCCACTCGTTGCCTAGCAACCCGGACCTCTCTCGGAGTGTTGCCATAACGACGTCCATTTTGGTCCAGACGTCACCTGACCTTGCTAAACAGTTTATCGAGGAACTGAGTGGAAATGTGAGATGCTTAGGTCATATGCAAGTCTATGAAAGCCACTCTGATTGGAAGCTAAAGTGTCCATGTGTTGTGGTGTGTCAATTTTAGCTAGGAATCTACGTAAATGACGACGATTTGAATGGCAAGTAGCCTAATGGACGCGCATTTGTTTTTTTATGCGTGTGCGTTTTCATTGACACTTACATCAATGTGACGTACTAGTTATCATGTAGTGCATGCTAATGTTGTAATTTACACACCATGCAGGGGGTGGACCCAGGAGAACATGCCTACCACACTCTCCTCCATTCCTACGCCACCCCTGACACTGTCAAGGAGTTCCACGCGGTAAATTACATCATCAGTTGAGATAACCTATTACATCATCATAACATCTACAGTCTTAGAACATCATCATTGCATCGTTGACTTCTTTAAACACCATCTTTTAGATCGTCACTCATTACATCATCACCTAGCGATGTTCTCTGTCTCCAACCAGATGATGAAGTGTCTCCAGTCCAGAGGGCTGGTCTTGCGTCCCTCCATCCACAAGCAGATGTTGGAGCTGGCAGCAGATCTGGGAGACCCTGTCAGAGCCGGTCAGGCTGTCTCCGCCATCAGACGCTCCGGCCAGAGATTATCTGCCACTGCCTTCTCAAGATACATTGTCGCCAACGCAAAATCAAGGGTTCGTTCAATTTTTTCAGACAGATTTTTCCATCAGCATTTTTGACACCATGTGAGAATGTGCAAATTTTGCCTAAATAAAGTAGGCACGAGGAGGCTTCAATATTGACTGTAATAATAAAAACGAATTTGATGGTGACCATAAACTTTTTTGTCCGTATATGTAGAGGATAGGAACAGCCCTGGAGCTGTATGAGAGAATGAGGAGCCACGACCTTCGACCTTCGTACGAGGCGATGAACCATCTAATGGTGGAGCTGCTGCGGTGGGGGGACGTCCACGGAGCTGAGAATATGAGGAGGTACTGAAGCTCTACAAAGCAAGCGCCAAGTACACTACGCGCGGACCTCATAATGAGTCAGTGGTCGCATGCGCAGGCCCTACGATATGCTCATGCGGGGACCAAATAAAGAGTCAGTGGTCGCATGCGCAGGCCCTACGATATGCTCATGCGCGGACCAAATAAAGAGTCAGTGGTCGCATGCGCAGGCCCTACGATATGCTCATGCGCGGACCAAATAAAGAGTCAGTGGCCGCATGCGCAGGCCCTACGATATGCTCATGCGGGGACCAAATAAAGAGTCAGTGGCCGCATGCGCAGGCCCTACGATATGCTCATGCGGGGACCAAATAAAGAGTCAGTGGCCGCATGCGCAGGGCCCTACGATATGCTCATGCGGGGACCAAATAAAGAGTCAGTGGCCGCATGCGCAGGCCCTACGATATGCTCATGCGGGGACCAAATAAAGAGTCAGTGGCCGCATGCGCAGGCCCTACGATGTGCTCATGCGGGGACCAAATAAAGAGTCAGTGGCGCATGTGCAGGGCCCTACGATATGCTCATGCGGGGACCAAATAAAGAGTCAGTGGTCGCATGCGCAGGCCCTACGATATGCTCATGCGGGGACCAAATAAAGAGTCAGTGGTCGCATGCGCAGGCCCTACGATATGCTCATGCGCGGACCTCATAAAGAGTCAGTGGTCGCATGCGCAGGGCCCTACGATATGCTCATGCGGGGACCAAATAAAGAGTCAGTGGTCGCATGCGCAGGCCCTACGATATGCTCATGCGCGGACCTCATAAAGAGTCAGTGGTCGCATGCGCAGGGCCCTACGATATGCTCATGCGGGGACCAAATAAAGAGTCAGTGGTCGCATGCGCAGGCCCTACGATATGCTCATGCGCGGGACCTAAATAAAGAGTCAGTGGCCGCATGCGCAGGCCCTACGATATGCTCATGCGCGACCTCATAAAGAGTCATTGGTCGCATGCGCAGGCCCTACGCGTTCGTCAGCATAATTATTGTAGCTCTCCTTGTCCAGTGCGATCGTGTGTAACGGTTCCTGCGTTGCGCGGCGACATTGCAGTCCGACAGAGATTGGGCTCATGAGAATATAGGACTCTGATATCTTACAATAAGTTGTGATCTTTTATAGCTAGCTACTGACATATGCTGTGGTGATAACATACAACTCATAGAACAGAGGACATAACCATAACGTGACAACAGACAAGTTTATGAACAGTTACTTGTGCAGTCGGGCAGACAGTGCGGTACCAATGTGGCAGGCCATGTTTCCCACAAAATGCTAATGCGCCTACCATGCGCGTCAGCATATGCTCCAGTGTTAGTTGAATATTTGTAGTGTGGTAGTATGGTTAAGGCTGCGTATTTCCCTGTGTTGTCCAGAGATCTGGAGGAGATGGGCTATTTCCCAGGTCTGGTTCTCAGGAATGCATTCCTCGGAGCCTACTCCAGGAGAGATATGAGCAGTGAGTCACTACCCACGCATGCACAGTGAGGGTTACTGTACTTTGTCTGTCGTTTTTCCCTCGCGCCCTTTACGTAGCGTCATCACTACTTTCAGAACACTACGATGCAACGTCAATGTCGCTATTTCCACTGACTCAGCTCTCTAACTCCATATCTCTCCTCCATAGAGGCCCTGCAGGAGTTTGAGGCACTGAAAACTGCTGGTTTCAAACCAACTGCTTACTCGTACAACGAGCTGATGACCGGATACAGTCTCCATGGCGACACTGAGAGCATCCGGAACCTGTTTGACGAGTTGCAACGAGAGGGTATTCCCCTTGACCGGAGCCTTGTTTCTCGTCTCTTTGATGCCTATGTCGCCAAGTATGTTGCCTTGACTATCACCCCCCCTCTCTCACTATCTCTATCTTTCGCTCTAGAGGTGACATTGATGGAGGTCTGTCTCTGGTGGAGGAGTTCCCCAGTCTTCCCCCGCACTCCTCCTCCCTCATGGCCGCCATGCAGCTGTCTCTGGAGGCAGGTGACGAGGAAATGGTAGGGAGGGTGAGGACGAAGATGAACGAAGTCAGTGGTGAGAAAAACACCAATAATATGATGTTCTTCGGTCATCTGAGAGCTGGACAAGTCACTCAGGCTAACAAGATTTTGGAGGTATTTACACATAATTTCATAGTGAACCCTCTGAATAAGGGACTCCCCCTAGTTGTAGTTGGTGACACTGGAGTTTCATATATTGTCCTGTTGTCTTGTTTTCCACACAGACTGAGGGGTTTTCCCTCAATTCTCGCGACCTTGTGACCTTTGCGGTGGATTTGAAGAGGAAGAGGAAGGTAAGAGAAGTGTATGCCAATGAAGGTCGTCACGGTGCTGCATGTGTGTGTGTTAGAGAGGAGAAGTGTATGCCGCCCTGGAACTGCTGAGGGACAAAGGTCATCACCTAGGAGACACGACAAGTGTTGCGTGGTTGAGAGTTTATGGTGAGTGTGTGTGTGCTGACAATTTTAAATCTGGACTCTCCATCTCTCGTTACACAGATATTCTAGGAGACATTGAATCAGCTCTCGCTCTCAAGGAAGAACTGACGTCAGCAGGCCACACCCTCTCTGATGACTTCCTCTCTCGTCTGGAGTCCATTACGACTCGGTCCCATTCCCAGACCGGTGAGTCCGCTCTGTCTGATTCCCATACTTCATACCCCCATTCTTTCATTCCAGGGGCTAGAGAGAGACAACTATAGCGCGTTTAAAAACTACCATAATGATTAGGGTCATTAAAAATTATTATAGAGATGTATTATTATTCTGCAGCAGATTGAGTAAGATTGGCATTTTTTTGCTTGAATCCACGATGTTTTCATTATTGTATCATACAGTGAGCATACATTCACTTTACATAACAACAAAATACAGTATGAGAGAAAGATGAACATTTTATTGACGATTGTCTTTTGAGAATGGGCGTGGCCCCTGGTGAAAGTGGGTGTGGCCTGACTTCCCACCTCCCTTCTCCTCGACTTTCACCTCCGAAATGATGTGCTTGTGCGACACCGATTTTGTCATGTCAAACACTGTCACCAAGGCAACCGTTGCCCCTAGCAATGCTTCCATTTCGACTCCAGTCCTTCCTTCAGTTTTAGCAGTCACCGTGGCAACCACACACCCCTCGCTGGGTCGAATATCCCATACCACACCCACATGAGATAGCGGGAGGGAGTGACAAAGTGGGACAATATCTGATGTTTTCTTTGCTGCCATGACAGCTGCAATTTCAGCCACGCCCAAAACACTCCCCTTTTTGCTTCGTGTGTCATCATTTACTAATTCCATGGCTTCAGGAGAGAGGAAGATTTTGCCGGAAGCGACGGCCCATCTATTGGTGACTGGTTTGCGGGTAACGTCCACCATTTTAGCTCTACCGCTGTCGGAGATGTGGGACAGAGAAGACAGAGTGCGGAGGAAATGAATCTGATTGGTCAGTTTGGCAGCAGAAGGTACGAGGAGGGAGGAACTAGCTAGTGAGTTCGGTGAAAAGGGGAAGGAGGGGGGAGAGGGAGGCGGAGAATCTGGGGAAGAAGGATATCATGTGATTTTCACGTGACCTGAAGACCAACACTTACATCATTACCCACCAATCAGAATCATTGGTCTGTTCTTCATCTTGGACAAGTTGAACATTCCTGCAGTATTATATATACACGTGAACACATAATAAGACTTTGAGAAAAATTTTCCCTTCTGGTATATACACAAGAATTATACCTGCATGTTGTCTCTTCTTCCTTGACACGGCACCCGCAATTAGCTCTGTGATGTCATCGTCCGAGGCCCCGCCCCTCAGCGCATCTCGCAGCGAGACCTCCGCATTACCAAACAGACACACCTGTTGGAGGTCAAAGGATCATGTGAGATTACGTGATGGGCGTGGCTTACCTTCAGGTTGCCGTCTGCAGTGATTCTAAGTCTGTTGCAGGAGGAGCAGAAGTGGTTGGTCATTGATGCTATGAAACCAATGGTACCGGCAAAACCAGGAACCTTGTATGACTGAAAGAAAGAACTGTTGTAAAGTCTAAATCTGTACACAACATGTACACAACATGTACACACATGGGGTGTCCATATTGGTGAGGTGTCCTTATTACAAGAGGTGTTCTAGGAAGGTGTCTGTATTACAGATGTGTCCTCATTTCAAGGGTGTTCTCAGAGCGGGATTCCACTCTGCCAACTTTCTCACCTTTGCCGTATCGTTTGCCGCATCCTCGATCTTGGTGAGCTCAGGCCACGCCCCAAAGACCACGCCCATCATCTCGCGGTAGGCCAGAAACTTCTGGAAGCTCCAGCGGTTGCCGGAGAATGGCATGTATTCGATGAACCTAACATGGACAGGCAGCTTCTCAGTGAGTTGGACAAAATCCAGTAGTTCGTCGTCATTTAACCCTTTCATCACAACGCAGTTTACCTGCAGTAAGGAAATGGTACTAGCCTCTACTTTCTGCTAATATGTGGCAGCGGCAATCACACACATTGCATAAATAATTGTGTGAGAATGTGTGAGATTGAGATGACGTTCGCAATACAATGACGTTCTGTTGGTTGTTGGTAACTTACATCGTGACCAACATGTTGTCATCTCAAGCTATGATGTATTACAAAACTACTAAAAACACACACGTGCAAGGGTTTGCCTCAATATTGAGAAGCCGCAATTACCTTCACATGAGGCAGGCCCAAGCCCACAGCTCTCTCAATGGACTGTACAACTTTCTCCAGACCTTTCCGACGAGTAATAAACTGAAACTTTGCCTCTTGGAGGGTATCCAGACTGATATTAACTCCTTCCAGCCCAGCTTCTTGTAGCCGTGGCAACCGTCGAGCCAGAGTAACTCCATTGGTTGTCATCTGAACACTCTGTATCCCATGGATACCAGTCAACGTGGCTGGAGGGAAAGAGACACACTGCCCCTGTAATTATGTGTTGGACTGCTGGTAGAATGTAGATACAAATGCATTCTCCTGCTATAGTAGAGGTATTCATATTCAGACTGGTTGGTTGGCCTGCCCTTCCCTCCACTTGCTTGCTAACAATATTCACAGGCACACCTATAACATACAGGAAGGTTCATTTTGCACTGCACACTCTAGCTGTAGTCAAAGTAATCCGGATAGTTAGACTCTAGCTGTAGTCAATAGTTAGACGGTCTGGTCTATCCTTCCACCAATATTTCGAAGTACGAAAAGTTTAGGCCACCCAATATATTATGCTTCAAACTATGATACTACATGCATAAACCTATTGAGAATTGTTGCATAAAACCACTGCATGAGCCGAGACTGACTGACCAATAATGTCCTCCAGGTCTCTGCGGACTAGAGGTTCTCCTCCGGTCAGTCTTATCTTCCTCACCCCGAGACCAGCGAAGACCGTCACGAGTCTTCCCAGCTCTGGCAGACTCAGTAGCTCCTGCTGTGGACTCAACACCACACCTTCTGCCGGCATACAATACTGACCTGTGGACACAAGAACACTGTTGCTAGCCCTGAACACTGTGTATAGTGCAAAACTATGGAGGAGGGCAATTTTGCAGCACATGACAATTTTCATAGAGAAAACTTTGCAAAAAAACGTGTGCCGATGCCATACGAAAAAATATCCTTGGAAACTGATGGCACTGTACATTATGTTCTGCGTGCTAATCGTTAGGACTGCATAGTGCTAGGTAGACAAATTGTGAAGGTCAATACTCTAGCCCCAAGTAGGAACAATAGAACAATAGGCTAATCTTTCACCAGAGCACAATTTCTACATACAGAGTAGAGAATAATGGTATATACATACATCTGAGGTTGCATCTCTCGGTGAGGGAGATACGGAGGTAGTCGTGAAGACGACCAAACGTGTCTACCAGAGGTTTGTCCGTCGCCCCCTCCGTCCGCGGCTGCTGATCACTGCTGTAGGCCGTAGTAAACGCTCTCCTCTCTCGCAACACACTAGCCGACCATTTGGCAGGTATAACCAGCCGACTTAGGCCTCCGAACTTTCCCAACACAATCCGCATCTTGCTCGAGCCAGCTAGCTGTGTCGCACGTGAGCAACCGCACAACGCGCATGCGTGCGGTGTTCTAAGCCACAAGACTGATGCTGCTGCATGCACTGAACAGCTCGGTCTATCACTGAGGCCCGCGTGCAGATATGTCTCATCTGGCCTACCCTAACTTAGCACGTCTCCCCGACTTCCCCGAGCGAGGCCTCAACTACACTGGAATCCCAGTAGAAGGCTGGGGTACGGGGCTTCTTGTACCTCTAGCCATCTCCTGTCTCGTGTTCTTGACCGCCGGGCTCCCGAACCGTGCCAGGGGCTGGGAGATATGGTGGGCCCTTCTCAACACGGCCGTCATCCACCCCATGGACTTGTGAGCTCACGGAAAAACCAAGAAACTACACAATTCAAGCGTAGCTAGGCTACCGTGGAGCACGTAGGCATACAGGTCTAAACTAGCCCTAGCAGCTACAGTGGAACTCTGCGCCTTGGCTAGTATAGGAGAGAGATGTTTGTATATAGTGTTACTCTCTGCTCAGTTTTGTAGGGACTCTGGGGGTGGGGCCCAAGTATCTGGTTGATGAGTACGCAATTCTGGACTCAAGATATTGGGTTGAGAGGGATAACACAGTGATGTGGGTGGCCTACCTGGAGTTTTTTACCATGGCACCTCTCAGCTACCTCTGGTGAGCCGAAATACACACAATGTATCCTTTGTGACACCTTGTTCCATCCCAAATTAGTTAAGGAATTCTTCATTCAGAGGTGTCCCTGTACATTGTACTAGTGGAATGTGTTTTTGTGGGTTGTGGGGAGCTGCCACTTAATTCCACAAAGAAAACTGAATTACTCAGAAACCTTAGACAGGGTTTTCCCACATGTTGTATATATGTTGCAGGTATCGCAGTGCAGTTCGAGGCTATTGGTCGAGGCATTTCTGGGCTGTACTGTGCAGTTCATTCCAACAGTTTGGAACCTTCATGTACTGGGGAACGGAGTGGAGTGATGGGTTCATTCACCAACCTGCACTCGTTAGCCACTCACACCTTTTACTAGCTAAACTTTAACAGTTGAATAGTTTGTGGACCCTCAATGATTTGGACACCTCTCTACTTTGTTCCGCCTCATACTAACACATTATAGTGCATAGCACCTCTGAGTTAGGGTGGGCCAATCTGAATTAAAAGTCCCCAAAGGTTCCTTCTTCAGAGTTTAACTGTATAATGACTTGGTGTGTGCTCTGAAACACAGGATTGGCCTCCAAGGTTTGACTCTTACTTGAAGCTAAAGTATTTCTGGTTTGTGTTTGTCTTTCTCAACGGCATCTGGGTCGTCATCCCGTTCTACATCTACTGCCGCACTTACCTGTTCCTCAGCAAAATCACTAGAAACAATTGGACTAAGAAATTACGATAGCCTTCAACATGTAAAAATAATTACTATGATTAGGGTATTGTGACCTTTATTTTTACTATAATTATATTGATTTTTGGTGTCGTCTTAAAAATCGGCAGTTTTTTGCGTATCAAAATTAAGATGACATTTCTTCTTCAGTGGCTGTATGTCATAGTCTCAGTTTGCTATTGTCTTCCCATTGTCTGGCGGTGAGCAATACCTCTTGTAGAAGAAATTAAGAAACAGAACAGCGTACGAAATGTACATTACAACTTCCAAGATGATGAGATCATTAGGAACCGTACAGCCAGGGACACGCCCACTTCTGTCGTTGTAGAAAGCTCGGAGAGTGACAAAAACTCCAACAAACATCTGAGACAACTGAAGAAGAGTGATGGCCTGGGCTGCCCAGCGAGGAACTCTAATTCCGTTGGCTCTCAGGGCATAGTAGGAGTACATGAGCGAGTGGACAGAGTAGTTCATACCACTGAAGATGACTCCTGCTGCATTGGGTGTGTTCAGACCATACATAGTGATGATAAGAACAGTGACGTGGTGGTACCAGTGGAGGAATGATAGCGGAGTCTTTCTCAGTACAATGAACGCTGTGTCACCCAATTCCACTAGTTTTGAAAGTCCGAACAAGTAGCACCAGATGCCGATTCGAGGGACGATTGTCCCTATAGAATGACAAACAGTGTAATCAACGCCGTAGTAATACAGCGAGTGCAGGACGCAGGGAACAATTGATGATGCTCCGAAAATGCTAAAAACTGTTAGACCAACGTTCCATAGAAAGAGAGGCCTCCTTAGTTTGAATGGTTTTCTGTGCCTCATCCACCGTTGACCCTGGAACACTAGTAGGAGGTAGATAGCGGTGGCGTACAGACACACGCTCCACGTCTTGTTCTGGTGAACGACGACTCGCGGAGGATCCACGTGTGTTTCGATGTACCGCAATACGGGAATCGGCAATAGAAGTGACATGCTGTTAGCTGTACTGGAGGATCGACCAGTCCGCCGTCCGTAGGTACTCAGATCAGCTCGTCGGTCGTAGACTGATCTGGCACGAGTTGACGCGCGTATAAGGCACGCGCGCCGAGTTTACGCACGCACCGCTGTAATCGTGCCAAAAACCCAGCAGTATAATATACTCTAGGCTAACTAAGCCTCGCCGAGGTACAGTACCGACTGAGTAGCTACTTCGGGCTTATCAAAGACCGTGGGGCAAAAAAATGTGGTGCTAAATGCCGCACAAACACGGCAGCTGAAAAGGGACGTTTCCAACGTTCCCGCACGCGTAATTGATATAATAACGGTGTCTTTGTTCTATATACACCGCTCAAAAGGTGAGTTCCAACCAAAGGCATTTAGAGGGGTGTAGGCAGTGAAATACGCACACTGAAAGGAATAAATTCTATAACCACTTTTATTTACAAGATACATTGAAAAGAGGTAAAGAAAGTTGCAACATTACAACGCATGAGCAAGACAGAGGGAAACTGTGCTTTCATGCTCTGCCCAAAATCCTGGACACATGCCTTAATTAATTCACCAGAGTAGGGGTGGAAAAAGAGAAGTTCCTGGGTTGCAGTTCAATTTACACCAGGCATTAATGCAGATCCGCTCCATGATGAATTTAGGTGCATGCACAAGGTCGAGACTAAGAGGTCAATCTTTCTCGCGCACAAATCTGTGTTTACAAACAGCCGCTATAATTACACCCGTCGGTCAGCAATACAAAAATTAGTCCTCCACAAAAGTCAGTGTGATTTGGTGTTTCTGGAGCCGCAGTACTTCTTGTAGAAAAAATGAATGAACAAAACGGCGTACGAAAAGTACATGACGGTAGCCATGAAAAATACGTCGTCCTTGACAGTGCAGCCTGGCATGTGCCCACTTCTGTCGTTGTAGAAAGCTCGGAGAGTGACAAAAACTCCGACAAACATCTGAGACAACTGAAGAAGAGTGATGGCCTGGGCCGCCCAGCGAGGAACTCCAATTCCATTGGCTCTCAGGGCATAGTAGGAGTACATGAGCGAGTGGACAAAGTAGTTCATACCACTGAAGATGGCGCCTAGTGCATTGGGATCATTGATACCGTAGATGGTATAGATTAGGACGGTGACGTGGTGGTACCAGTGGAGGAATGGAAGCGGACCTTTTCGTAGTACGATAAAGGCAGTGTCGCCCAATTCCAGAATCTTAGAGAGCCCGAAAATGTAGCACCAGATTGCGAAGCGAGGGATGGTGGGCCCGTCGCTGAAACAGACGGTGTAGTCGACGCCATAGTAGTAGAAAGAGTGAAGAACGGAGGGAAGTACGGCGGCCGTACCGAAGATGCTAAACACCGCTAGGCCAACGTTCCATAGAAAGAGAGGCCTCCTTAGTTTGAATGGTTTTCTGTGCTTCATCCACCGTCGACCCTGGAACACTAGTAGGAGGTAGATAGCGGTGACGTACAGACACACGCTCCATGTCTTGGTGTTGTAGGCGATGATCCGCCGAGGGTCACTGTGACCTTCGATATACCGCAGCACGGGTAGAGGCAGTACTGCAGACATCTCTCGACAGACAGATGGGCGGATTTGGCGTGCGCGCGCGCTCGTATATACACGCATGTGTGCGAGTTTGTGCGCATGCGCAATTTGTCGTGGTTGCGTCGCTTGGCAACACAACAGAAGAACAGGCAACATGGCAGCTTTCTCAATGGTGAATCCTCTGGCGGCTCCAAAGGGAGTGAAGTTGGCGTGCGAGCTTTGCCAGAAGCCAGCCCGTCTGCAGTGCAACGACTGTCGCGTCACCTACTACTGGTGTGTTGTATAATATACAGAGCGATGATCTCCGTATCCTCTTCCTCATGAAGCTGTGAAGGTCACCAGTCTGAGGACTGGCGAGCCATTCACGAGAAGATCTGCGGAGTCCTGAGCGTCCTCCATGGTCCTCAGCCCCACTCTGGGACTGGGGAGGAGAGATCTCACCACCAACACCAGCAAACCCTGCGAAAGGTCTTCCTCCACCACCTCGCTATAGACACTCACATTACACCCTAACCTTCACTCTACATCCCCATTCTATTACTCCTTATTTTGACCTGAAACCTTTTTTTCTCATCAGAAGCACATAGTGGGTGTGGCTCTAGAGGAAGGGAGAAGATTGCTGTATTCAGGCCAAGCCTCTCTCGCCATACCTGCTTCTCTACAGGTTTATTACACCATTACGCAGCATGGCATACACAATAATTGTGAAAAGTGTGGCATGTATTCTGCAATATGTTATGTATTGCAGGCTGTGCGCTACCTAACTGAACTCGGGTCTTTGGAAGTGGGCGGGGCAGAAGGTGTAGTTGATATCGCTCCAGCTTATCTGATTTTGTCGGAAGCTGCAATTCGTAAGTCAATCTTTTTTCTCCAAGCTTTCACTTTCATCTCTCTCTCTCTGTTTGGCTGATGTTCCAGAGCTAGGTCGGCTGTCAGAGGCAGAGCAGTATCTCTCGCAGGTCCAGTGGCTGGTTCTCCAATCTCCCACCTCTCCTCCCTCTCTCCTTGCCTCTCTCAGTCGCAACCTTGGCCAACTGGCTACTGCTAGAGGCAGACTGGCTGAGGCACGACGCCACTTCGCAGAAGATGTATATAAGAAGTAGAATAGATAGTTGTGGGGTTGAAGGTATTTCATATTGCATACTTCGCTGGAGCCCACAATGCCACACTACAACTGATGAGAATGTCAGTGATACACTAGTGTAAGGGCTTCTTGGGATCACAAAGGCATTCACCAGGATTCTCTGTCAAACAATCATGCTATATACAGTTTACGTGTGAATTGAGAGCATGGCCATGTACACTCACAATAGATAGCTACAGAACAATGATTCATGTGTATATCTACATCTACACTGATGCCACCTCAGGTGTACCAGAGTAGTGTGGCTCACGGAACGGATTCTCCCCAGGCTGCCGGTGGCTACTTCCACATGGCATCCGTCTTCTTCAGAGAAGGTCGACCTGACATCGCCACCTCCCTACATGACCAGGTACACTATTTTATACCTGGTATGTACCCATGAAGCCTTTCAATCTTAATGTATGTGTGAAAGTGCTGTAAATTATGTAGTGTTTGATTACAGATTGCAGTGGAGCTCTGGAGAGCACATACCTCGCGCGGTATTGCTTAAGCGCATGCGCACACGTTTACTGATAAGTGTGGCCAATGAACTAACATTTGTAGGGTCAGTGTCGTTGATTCCAAGCATTGTGACGCCATTTTTTGCCATTTATGATAGTTTAGCCGCTTTTCAAACTTACCAGGCACCTATTCCTTGAGATCTGGTGATTAGTGTGGATGATGATGACAGCAGACATACAGATTGAAACATAACCCCTTGGGTGCATGCACGCAAGGGGTATAAAGTGTACTGAAAACTTTTGCACGTGGGGTAATCAACTTTCTCTCTATAAGACAACTTTCCCTTTGCCCCTTCTTGTCTATTGTATTGCAGGTGATAGAGGCATGGCATGGTCATCTCTCTCAACTGCTGACCAACAAAACCACACCCCATTCTCACCTACTACTAGGTACGTGACACAGCATAGGAAAGCGCATGCATTAGAGGCATCAATCATGTCCATGACAGACGCTGGCATGCAGGCTGAAGCCATGTTCATCCTCCAGTCAATATATGACCTCCGACAAAGGTCAACACAAGCTCCACCCACTCCTCTACTTCTACACACGCTGGCTCTCCTATACCACGTTGCCGGGGACAACAGACTCGCTGTGGATGCCCAACAGAAAGCAATTGACCTCTGCAAACATGACAATGACCTATACCCATCGTTCCAAACATTCATGGACACCCTAACAAAATTAATCAGCATATCACCATAGCAACAAATCCTTAAATAATACTACAACAGAGAATGATGGTGGTCAACTAATAAATTAGGCAATGCTAAAAATAGACTAATGTGTCATTAGTCGTCATGTGACTCAGTGGGTGTGGCTTCATTCTCCATCTTTTCCAGTTCTATTGCTGGGGTTAGAGAAAATAGGGATTACATCATTGACACAGAGAATGAGGTAATGTGACTCACTGCCTTTGGAGGGGAGACGGTTCTTGACCTTCGTCACCACATGGTGTAAGCCTGCAGGGTCAAAGGTCAGGACGGAGTGTAAGACAAGGTCTCGGGTTTGAGTGAGGTCAGAGTTCACCGCCTGACGTCGCTCTATCTCCAGCACTATGTGAAGGGAAGGGGGATGTACATATTGTGTACATTATAAACTGCTGCAGTGTATATACATGTATTATGTATAGGAAACATTTTCTTCAGATGGCAAATTTGTAGGTGTGGAGGTTGGCTCACCATCAGCAGAAGGTAGTTTGTTCTTAAAGATGGTGTCAACTGTCATCAGTAGGGAACGATCAAATTCCAACAGCTCCTCAATAACCTTTGACCTTCTCTCCCTGGACAGCTCTGTGGATTTGAACAGGGGTACCTCTTACAATTACATCATTTCCACGACGACTACATCTTTGTAAACTACAACAAATAGCCTCAGGCAATTTACATTCCTAAAGTTTGCTAACGGTAGCATGAATGGAGCAGTGGACACTCGGCACCTCTCACATACCGTTTGTAACATTTTCCTTATTTGGACTCTATTATTATACTCCGTATACCGCCGTACAATTCCATGGTCCTTATTTGGAGGTTCCACAGGTAGTACAGTGGTTTCCCTCACCTTCAATGTCGGGAAGTGATTGCCTGACGACAGTCTCCACGTGGTGAAGATTGCCCCGCGAGAACCTCTCCACGGCTGTCCTGATTGCTGGGTGGAGTCTGCGACGAGGAGGGGAGGAGGGGAGAGGAGGGAGAGGGGGAGGGAGGGGACTGGCATTGGCAGGACTCATGGCATTCTCGAGACTTGATGACATTCTCTTCACCTTCCACCTGCCCTGAACCACATCTGGTAATGAGAGAGTGTAAAAGAACTGATGGATCACACACACACACACACACACTTAACACACACACACACACATGGACATGCGCATGCACAAGCAGGTCAGAGCAAATTGAGCGAGATATGGGGAAAAGAAGAAAGGTGTGAGCAATGAAATGAAAAGTTGAAGCGAAATTTGCATGCTCGCACGCACAAATACAAACATACACACGAGATATTGTAGGAGTAACTAACGGCCGACAGGGAAGGCAGGAGGGGGTTCCACAAAGGCTACAGGTCTCAGCCATCGTTTGCTGAAAGACTGAATCAGGTTCTGAGTGGTGTACAGATACTTCTGCTGGTCGTATCCTCCAACAACATGACCTGAGATATTATTTATGGAGGAGGGAAGAAAAACGTGTGGAAATTTGAAAATCCCGTATGCTGCCTCATTACTATATGAAATCAGTGGGTAATGTGTGCAGTGTGTTAGCCTCACGTGTACGAAATCGTAAAATTTCTTGAGGCTTAATCTTACGAAATCATCCAGACATGGGTACAGGTTGTTTGAAAATGACGTACCAACACGAAATGCCCGTTTCTCAACAGTCTGGACTGGTCTCAGTTTCCTAGCAACATCGGCACCGCGAGCTCGAACGTCTTTCAGCATCAGTTGCTGTGGCGACAGAGGTATTCTCCGAACAGCAGGAGGGGGAGGGGGAGGGGGACGGGAATCAGCTGCCATGGCACCAACTGTGTGTGTCTCAACGGGTGGAGCAGTGTGCTCGTGGTAACGAGAGAACCCTGCGATGTTCTGGTAATTAGGGTAACTAGGGAGCTCCTCACGCACCCTGACACGTGGAGCCATCTTGGATCGGGGTGTGGTTACCAATTCTGGTTTGACTGGTTCCTTGCTCGACGACAATGCGGGGGAGGAAGAGGGAGGCGGAGAGGGTTTCGTGGAGAAAGAGCGAGGAATCAGCGAGCTCAGTTTCCTCCTCAGTGAACTCTGGGTGGGCGGGGCCTCCTTGGTAGGGGTGGACTCCACGTGTTTCAGTTGAGGGAACATTTTGCTCTTGATTGAGTTCAGAAGAGGCTGCGGAGGAAATATTGAAGTGGGCGTGGTCTTTGGGTCCGTTGCCTGTGGCAACTGAAAGGAGTTCTCCTTCATCTGTAGTTGTTCGGCAAGTTCTCTGTCTGCCTGTAGCTGGGCGACGTCATGCTGGGCCTGCAGCTCTCTTGCGAGCATCACATCCTTGTCCTCCCCGATTCTCTTCTTGACCTTCTTCTCCTGTCGTCTGGGCCAGGGAGCATTGCCTTCCCCGAGAGCAGTCTTCCTGGGTTCTGGATGAGGAGCCCGCGGAGTTTGCTGGACTGCAGTGGCCATGTTGAGTGATGTCCTCTCACTCTCTTCATCAACTGGAATATGAAACTTTATGAACTCGTGAAATTACATAGTGTCAGGCTCAGTGAAATGTCCATTAGTAATGCACCGCTGCTTTCTCTACCAACTTTATATTTCCAGCAATTTATACAGCTCAGTTCATCTGAGACATGGTGATAGATTCACTGCTAGTGTCAGGGTACAGGGTTCAAATGTAGCAAGCAACGTTTTTTTCGCCACTGATTGATGATCACACTAAAATTGAGCACTTACATACATACATTGTACCTGGAACAGTTGACTCTGATATCTGCTGTCTCTGCAGGTCTAGTTTTCCTCTGCCAGTATATTTTGCTCTTGCCTTTTTAGCAGGTTTCCTCAGTTTTGAGACAGCGACTTTGTTATCACTGCTCCAGTTGAGTGGCAACCTCTCCTTTTCAGCTGGAGGAGAAATATTGTCATTTTCAGTGTACTGTTTAATACCTTACACGATTCTTATGTACGTCCCTTTATTATCAAAAATTCACACACCAATTGCGTACAAAGACGTGGCAAAACCCCACATTTCAGCAAACAAAATGAGAACTGTAAATTCATGGTAACTTACGTAAAACGTTTCTTTTTATATCGTTGTCTAGACGATGGGGTGAAGATTGTTGCCTGGTAACGAGCATGTTTGTTGAGGCAGTGGGTGTGGCATTTGAAGTGGGTGTGGCCTGGTTCTGCCGAGCGAGGCGAGAGAGGGAGGAGTCTTGCTCCATGAGGTCGGTGGAGTCAGTTGCACTGAGGAACACAACACCCAGACTGCTCTGGTGTTGGAGTGGTGGCCTCGCCCCCTGTGACCCTGCCCCCCTGGTCTGGGGGTGTGGCAGGAGGTCCGACAGGGAGGAGAGGATGGTGGGGAGGGAGGGACGGTCCTCGGGGACCCACTCTGTGCAGCTGCAAGAAAAGGGGGCCCATGATAGCCGACAGTACAATAATCATTACCCACTAAATAAGCATACAGTGTACATAGAAATCTCCTTACTAAAATGGTGATACAGCTAGATGAAATTCATAAATTCTGAGAGGAATCTCACCTGCTGAAGAGTTGTTTGAATGTGAGGTGGGCATTATCTGGAACAGCTGGTCTCTCTCTCCTCACGGCAACGGCCATCATGACTGCCATGGGAACCATGTGACCCATGGGGACACGCCCACACATCATCTCATACAGGACCATTCCAAAGCCATACACGTCAGCCGAGAATTTGTATCTCTCGTTGTTCAGGACCTCCGGAGCCGTCCAGTGCACCGTCCCTATGTTGCCTGGGTAACACATGTACATAAAAACATATTATGTCGGGGTATACGTGTCTTGAAATGATATCATTCAGCTACAGTACAGTATTTTTGACAAACAAGAAGGTTGGGGAAGTGGGTAAAAATAAAAGTTTGGAGTGAGATACGAAAGTTTAAAAGTTCAGAACAATTGACGAGGAAAACAAGAAAGGTGGAACTGGAGAACGGGGGAATGAACATTCCGACCCACCTGTCATGGTGGCAGACTCCAGCCTCATTCTGGAGAGGCCAAAGTCACAGAGCTTTGCCTGACATGGAATGGGGCCAGTTAGCAACACATTCTTACTCTTCAAATCTCTGGAATGGAATGGAGACAGTCACGCTATAAAGTTGCAACGGTATTTGCAAAACCCCCCTTTTATGTACAAAGGTAGTGTAAGTGTTGAAGTGTAAAAAAAAAACGAAGGCATTAACACGAGTAACCTGTGCAGGACATTGATAGAATGAAGATATTGAAGACCTCTGCAGATGTCAGTAGCCAATGACGCTATCTGAGACTCTGAGAGAACTGTCTTATCAACATGAACCAACTGTGTGTGTGTGGGGGGGGATAAACAAAAGACGATAATGTGTGAGTTTGAGGAGAAGGGCTGTGAGTATCCACTGTACCTGATGCAGAGAGCCTCCGGCCACGTATTCCATGATGATGGCTAGTTTGGGCGGAGTCTGGCAGGCTCCTAGCAACAGGACGACATTTGGGTGACGGAGGCAGTTCATCACATACACCTCTCTCTGGAACGCCTCCATTGTCTCTGGTGTAGGCCTCCCTGTGCTGAACAACTGGTAGAGAGTTTGCCATCATTGGCACTTCAATGTGATTTTGCTTTTTTTGTAGGCAAGTGAGTAAACAAAATGAAAAACCAACAACCCCTAGTATTTACACTATAGATGGAGTGTGGAATAGCAAAATTATCTCGCCACTTACTGTATGTTAACAATGGGCAAATGAGAGTGTGATCATAAACAAAAAAAGCTGAGGGCTTCAGTGATTTTGCATTTTTTGTAGGCACGTGAGTAAACAAAATGACAAACCGACCATCTCTAATATGTTAATAATAGTTTGAGTGTGGAATAGAAGCATTATCTCGTTTCCTTGCCACGCCTCTTTTTCGCTGTCCATTCACAATGAGTATAATATGAGCAATTTCAGAGGGTGTGAGCAAGAGTGGGGAGTACATGTACTACCTTGACTGCCACATCATTTCCTCTCCAAGTACTGCGGCAGACTTCACCGAAGGCCCCTCTGTCCAGCGTTTCCTGGACTACGACCTCAGAGTACACCACATTCAGAGCCGTTCCCAGCGGCAACACTCTGATAGGGAGCAGATCGCCAGGGGTAATACAACAAGTTGGCACTTGAGATATTGTGGTAAGTTTGTCTAGTTGTCTGAGGCATACTGTATACTGGCAGGGGCAATGTCTCTTTTCTGGCATTTTCTTTGAAAAAAGTATTGTGAGTGGGTAGCAAGAATAATAGACGGTTTCAACCTTTCGCAGCACAGTTTACTGACGAGTCAAAAACACTCCGTAGAAAGTGAAGTCTCTCTATCTCATACGCACGCAGAGCTCACCTCTTGTCATCCATCCTCCCCAGTTCAGAGAGGAGGTCTCTGAGAGTGACGTTGAGAGAGACGGCATCTCCATTGACCCAGACTCGGCAGATGGGGCACTGGAAAGTCGGCCGCTGCGTCTGTCCTCCTCTGGTTGCCGTGCTACTGGCTCTGCCTGCCAACTGATCCACACACACCTGCAGGGGAATTAGCGAGGGAGGGAGAAGTAGAGACAAAAGAAAAATTGCAGGTGAAAACAGTGATACGTGTAAAAAAAACAAGGTTGGAGAAGAAACAGCCAATAATGTTGGTATACCTTGCAGAGAGTGTGGCCACATGGCATGGACATAGGCTCGTGAGTAGTGTGGTTCAGGAGAAGGAAGCAAACTGGACACTCGCACGCACTCAGGCCCTCCATAGCCTTCTCCGTCTATGACGTCATTCCCCTCAAACTAATAAAACCGAGAATAAAACGCTCCTACTAACGCAGAGAGTCCCAGGGGGGAGAGAGGGAGCAGCACAACAAGATTTTTGCCTCAGGGCCCCACCCCAAGCTAGCACTAGTCTCGTAAGCGCCATGATGAGCGCTTATGCTGTAAATTATTTCGTCATCACGTTGCACGTGATCCATAAGAACTGTGTGTTTTTGAGCTAGAGCGAGCTAGAGTGGGGGTTTCTCTGGACTTGTGGCTGGAGCGGTAGGCTCACTGGTTTTTACGCGGACTGAGAGAGGAGGAGGAGGTGCGCAATGGCGGGGACTGGGACCGTCAGTACAGCTGCCATCGTACGGGAGGGCTGGCTGCAGAAGAGAGGTCAGTCCGTACTCGTACTCTACAGCGGCAAGTGAGCGTAACGCTCGCGTGGTTCAGCTCCTCGGGCGGCCGGCGGGTGTGTGGTTGTATTGTGGGAGGGGTGGACGACCTTGCCAGCTGAGGGCCTTGCTAAGTACCGCCTTTGTTCCTGGTTAGCTCTCTATTAGCAATATTGGCAAGCTCTGCATGGTGTGCTAATGCCACACAGCTTCTTTATGGATATCAGTACAGTTTAGTGCAGTCGATGTGACAGATACATACACTTCCTCTCCTCTCCTTCCCTCCCCCTATTATGGGAGGTATGAATATACACAGTCAATTGACACATGAGGCTTCCACGGTACATTCATATATGGACGAAGGCAGTTTATGTTGAAAGTAGGATGCCGTCTTCTTGTTAGGTTTCTGTCAGGCAGTCCCAAGGCACGTAGCTGAACTGGCAGAAGAGGCCAGACTCTGTGCTGACTGTAACATTAGACAGTGGATCCCCTCTCTAAGGAGAGGGGTCCTCTCTAATAAGGACAACTTCTCTTTCCCTAAGCAGTTCTTGCACGCAATATAACCTCTGAAATAAGGACAGCTCACTAACATAGACACTTTATTGATGTCCCACTGTGTACCATCTACAATGAGAGCTAGAAAGAGAGTAGTAAGGTAGTGCCATAAGTAGAAGCCAGCCACTCTTTGCTGACTGTAGCAGATCACACTGCATGCAAGGAATGAACACAATAGTCACAGTTTCAGGGTCGGTGGAGTGGGCCTGTGTGTGGCTCCTAGCTGTGTACTCAACCCCAGAGCAGCTCACTCTATATACACACGAGGCCCAGTGTTGATGCTGCCTACACATACCCTGCATTGTCGCTGCGTACACTTGAGAGTTCTCTTTCCTCCCTCTCTTTCCTCTCTCTCTTCTCTCTCATTCTGCATCTCCCCTCTGGCAGGAGAGTATATAAAGAACTGGAGACCGCGATGGTTTGTGTTGAGGACAGACGGAACTTTTCACGGCTACAAAGCCAAGCCTCCTCCAGGAGAGTACAAAGATCCTCTCAACCACTTCAGGATTGAAGGTTTGCTCCATCCTTTGGTCTACTGTGATGAGAAGAGTCATTGTTGTCCCCTTACTTCAGCTGGAGTCCATATCCTCCGGAATGAGAAGGTTAGGAAATACTCCTTTTTGCTGCGGTGTCTCCAGTGGACAACTTTCATTGAGAGGACCTTTAGCACCGAAACTGAGCTGGACACGTGGGTCACATGATAGTCACATGATAGTCATGTGATCCAGTATGATGTCATCCTCTAGGAAGGGGTGGTGTGACGCGATACAGAAGGTCAGCGATGAGCTTGATAAGAAACAGAGAAGTCAAGTCAGCAAACCAGAGACTAGATCAGAGACGTCAGCTCCGTCTGCAACTTCCACTCCTGCCATATTGAAGGTGAGGACATCCCTGAAATGCTAATAATGAAACCTTTTTAGTTCTTGTATTTTGACCTCTGAAAAAGGACACCTAACTCACACCTCCTTTTCTATCCCGTTGGTGTCTGGATTAGAGGGGTTCCACTGTACACAATTACAAAGTGTTGTTTTGGTTGAGATGCACTTTCCCCACACACCACAAAAGATTTTTTCTAAACATATTAGTCAACATAAACACCGAGGCCATGTTTTGGAGTGCTAAAAGCACTACTGAAGTTGTTACTAAAGATGATGCTAAGCTAACATGTTTTTCTTCCCTTAGACAATGGATGATTTTGAGATTCTCAAGGTTCTTGGGAAAGGAACGTTTGGGAAGGTGAGAACTCTAATTGGTGGGTGTGGCCTGGTATAATTAGCCCCGCCCCCTCCCGGCAGGTGGTGATGTGTAAGGATAAGGCTACCGGGGAGGTAATGGCCATGAAGATCCTCAAGAAGGATGTCATTGTTGCCAAAGACGAGATTTCCCACACACTGACAGAAAACAGAGTTCTCCAAATGACCACCCACCCATTCCTGACTGTACGTATCTCTCAATGATCTCTCTGTAACCACATTATAATTATGGTGTAGCATGGAACTTCCAATGTAGCATTATAGACGGTTTCGTATTATTGCTGAGTGCTGTTGACTGTAGTATAGTGTTGGTGCGTTGTGCTGCTGCCAAGAAGGCCCTGAGTTCGAGATTCCCAGCTTCGCCATTTAAAAAAAATTTCCCCCCACCGCCCTGCTGAATAATTCTGTCTACACGTACGTATGTGTGCAGAGCCTCAAGTACTCGTTCCAGACACCCGACAGACTGTGTTTCGTGATGGAGTACGTGAGAGGAGGAGAGCTGTTCTTCCATCTCTCACGAGAGAGGGTCTTCTCCGAGGACCGCACCAGGTTCTACGGGGCCGAGATAACTCTCGGAATTCAGTACCTCCACCAGCTAGGAGTGGTGTATCGCGACCTGAAGGTGAGAGAAGTCACTTGTTGTGCCTCTGAGTTCTCTGTTGTGCCATGTCTCTCTCGCTGGAATGACTTGTTTACTTTCACTTTGCTCTGTCAACATTATACCGTCTTCTCCAATTGGTGCCCATCACAGCTGGAGAACCTGCTGCTGGATGAGCAGGGCCACATCAAGATAACGGACTTTGGACTCTGCAAAGAGGAGATAAACTTTGGAGACACCACCAGAACGTTCTGCGGTACTCCTGAATACCTTGCTCCTGAGGTAAGTGGGTGTGGCCTTATGCAATAATATGTTATACATATATAGTGTGTACCCGGAGACCTCTCTAAAAAGGACAATTCTTTTGCCCAAGAAACTTATATGGACACTTTCTTCAGTCCCATTGCATTGGTGTCTGGATTAGAGAAGTTCCACGTATCCGTTGCTACAAATACAGGTATTGGAGGACAATGACTACGGTAGGGCGGTGGACTGGTGGGGAGTGGGTGTGGTCATGTACGAGATGATGTGTGGTCGACTTCCGTTCTACTCCAGAGACCACGAAGTCCTTTTCGAACTCATTTTAGTGGTACGTGTGGTGAGGGGCACCAGTTATGTGTATTATACCATTCTGAGAGCTGTATACCATTATGTAGTACACAAGTATAGCACATACAGTTGATAGAGATGTAGGCACAATATGAGATGTTCATGTGCATGTTGCCCTGCCGTAACAATGGTGAATGTGTATGCCTTACAGTCTGTAGCTACATACGTATGTACATGGGGTCTGAGGAATGTGGTGGTGTGTTAATATTATTGCAGGAAGAGATTAAGTTCCCAGCGAGGCTGTCTGAGGTGTCCAAGAGCGTCCTGGGCAAACTGCTGGAGAAAGACCCGTCCAAACGGTGGGTTTCTGAAAGAGAGGGAAAGAGGGGAGGGGGCTAGGGGAAGCTTTGATTCCTGCCACTACCTAAAGAGCAGAGTGTCGTGAAAAGGGAACTATTTTTATCCTGGGTGTAGTTGGAATTTCCAAGCTGTGTGTTTGAGACTGTGTGATATATGTACCTACAGACTGGGAGGGGGAGAGACAGATGCAGAGGAAGTCAAAACCCACATCTTCTTTGAGAGCATTAGCTGGGACGAGCTCTACAAGAAGAAGATCGCCCCTCCCTTCGTACCCGTCATCAAGTCAGAGCAGAGCGCCGACTACTTCGATAAGGAGTTCACTGATGAGAATCCTGATCTGACTCCCCCTGATGAGAGTATGCCCCTCTCGTCTCCCTCTCTCTCTCACTCTCTTCTTTGTCTTATTCGTCTCTGTGCAGTTGTGATCTTTCCTCTTTACCATGTTGCAGGTGACCCCAAGGCACATGTTGGTGATGGAGTCCATTTTCACGATTTCACCTTTGTCCCTGAGGCTGGGGGAAACTTCAAGTGATTGGTTGCCATGGTAGCCCTGACTGTCTGTGTGTGTGCCATGTGTGTGTCTAAGAACGTTTTAATTGCATGCCATGTAAGTCTCTTGTTCTGTTGTAAGTCAGGTCATAGCTAGCTTTTATTATTTCTGCCTTTTTTCGACAAGTTGATTGGTTTTTACAAACTTCAGTGGTTTTACCGCGCATGCGCTTATTTTTGACAAGCGCACTTGTCAATCATGCGCAATGAGAGCTGCGCAGTGGCCCAGCCCACGTGTGTAAAGGTGCGACATGGCGGAAGGTGTAGCGGCGGCGGAGCTGGCAGTGTTCAGTGAGGATGGCTCCAGACTCGCCGTTTGCTCTCTCGACGGAGAGCTCAAAGTTTGGAGCGTCGCCACGCGGACTCTCGTGTCCCGATTTACGCCTGAAGACGCGAGAGGCGGCGCCATTGCGACCGCCTCGTGGAGTCGGGTAAGTCGGTGACAACGTCACTCCTCATGTATACTGCTGTGTGTGGGGTGTACGTCCCACGAAACGGTGCAGGTTCTTCCAAAACATCGGAAGTCGGGGCAGAAGATAGCAGTGGCAGTGAGTTCAAAGGTCGTGGTATGGAATGCAGCCAAGGGAAGAGAGGAATGTGTTCTGGTAAGTTGTGGGTAAGTCGGTGGGCGTGACCTTTATTGCCTGCAGTCTGGAGTCCATTCCAGTGGGGTGAGTGGTTTGGCATGGGGACCAGAGAACTGTTGTCTCTATTCTGCGTCAGAAGATAAGCATGTTGCAGTCTGGGACACCAAGACATGGGAATGCAATCAGTGAGACCACACCCACCACCTAGTGTAACTGATGTTACCCGTTCTACTATTCTTTCAGCAAATGGAAAGCAGACAAACATGGTGTCAAGTGTATCAGTTGCCACGGTGATAGAGATATCGTAGCAACGGCTGGTCGGACTATAAAGTTGTGGAATTGCGATGACTACTCCTTGATAAAGGTAAATCAACCTTCAAGTATTGGGTGTGGTCTGATGGTTAAGCATCCGCTGTCTTGATCGTGAGGTCCTGGGTGCGATCCCGGTCTGGGTCATTTTTATAATGATGTAATATGAGTATTGATATAAGAGGAACATTTTTTCATTACCTCTCCAGGCCAGCCCGAGTGGCTGGGTGGTTAGAGTCGTGGGGACTGACACCATAGGTGCCCGGTTCGAATCCTCGATCCCACACTAAAGTGTCAGGTGGTCCAGAGCATTGGCTGGGAACAGCTCTGGTTCCTCCCCTTACCCACAAATCTACCACTGACCCACTGGTTCTCAAAGGGCAGCGTATAGTTCGGCATTGCACTGCGTCCGTAGACGTCTGTCTGGAGAGATGGAGGGCTGGCCCGAATTTTTTTTTCAACCTTAGAATCGATTGTTTTGCCTAAAACGATCCATAGATAGTTGAAATAGAGAGAAGGAGGACTGGCCTTTTTTTTTTATTAAACCGTGTATAGCATTCTGTTATATTTATTTACAACCTTAGTTTTGCCTAAAACATAAGTTGGAATAGGAGAGATGGATGGGGATGGCTGGCTGTTTTTTTCAATTCCAATGGTGTTTTCTTTGTTTGCCAGAGGTTCTCAGGACATGCCACATCTGTTTCCTCTCTCATCTTCATTGGAGATGGCCTCCTCATCTCCTGTGCCCGTGACGACCGAGTCATCTCTCTCTGGTGAGTCCCTCTGTTGTTTCTGTACTGAATGCCATACCAATCTATGGTCTGCAGGAGTTCAGAGGTGAAAGGTTCGGCAGCTGTTGCGTCATTCACTTGTGAACAAGAAGTCTCCTCTTGTCATGTGACTGTTACCATGGGAACAGTTCACGTGGTAGCTCGGACAGTTGAAGGAGTGCTACATATGTTCAAATATCCACTGACCAATCAGATTGCAGCTCCAATTTCGGCTCACTCCACAGTTCAGTTCACAACAGGAGCAACTAGCAAAGTAAGTGTACAAACATAATTATATCGGTGGGCAATATCTGTTATATGTTTGCACTTTATATAATGTTCATATGATGTTTGATCTTGTAGGGAGAAACTCCGTCGCCCCTGCCAGTGTTAGCTGTTAGTTTATCATCTGAAGGGATCACCGTAGCTCATGGATCTTCCCTAAGACCGAGCATTGAGACCTTGGTGAGTCGAGGGAGAAGGGAGGTAGGGAGTGAATTGGGGTTCATTGTGCAGGGGTGGAGTGAGTGTGAAGGGGGGAGGGTGTGTTTGGTGAGGGAGAAAGCAGCTGGACTCCTGTTGCCTGGTGACGGAGACACCAGAACAAAGAACCACAAGGTGAGGATTCCTCTTTTCTCCTCTCAGGGCCTCACCTCTCTCCCTCTTTCAGACCCAGTCCCGGCCTGTGACAGTACTGGGTCCAGGTCACATGACCTCTGATGGAGATCACGTGACTCCTTGTCCGGGGGTGGAGCTGACCTCTGACCCCACAGCCGAGGCTCCACTGGGCAGTAGGATGTCAGGAGGGGGTGTGGCTTCGTGTCGGGAACAAGGAAAGAAGTGAGAAAAAAGGTTTTGACGATGAAATGTTATGCAAGACATTATGGATGTAATATACGTTTTCAACTTTTTATTGAAGTTGCTCAAACTACTTGTGTTCTCTTGTGTCGTAGCATTCCAAGAGCAGCGAGGACACTACATAAAGGGCCCGAATACTTGTAACACACGTAGATTTCCAAGGGCGAGATTCCCAACTTTTTTTAGTATGTACGATGCGTCCTTTTTGCGTACAAATGGTTGCTCGGCGCCACGGGCACTTAGTAAACTCCATGCGAAGAACTCAAAAACGTTTTCACTTGCCAGCGTGTGTATTGACACAGTTCTCTGGTTTCAGTCGAGTGGCGACAGCTGAGTCTCTGAGTCGACTGCTGGGCCAGGCAGTCCAGAGTGGAGACAGATCTCTCTTGGAGGAGGCCCTCAGAGTGAGGAGGGAGAACATCATACGACAGACACTGCGCAGACTTCCCCTCTCCCTCATCCTCCCTCTCCTCAGACAGGTGAGTTGACTCTATCTTCCTTCTCCCCTCACCCCCCTCACCCCTCTTTCAGCTGGTGAGACTGCTGGAGACATGTCCATCTCGGGGTCTGGAGCTGAGTCTGTGGGTCCACCATCTGCTGACTCAGCACTCTGCCTACCTCATCACACAGCCTCAGCTAATGGCAGTCCTTTCCTCTTTCTACCAGGTCGTGCACCCGACCTCTCCTTTTTTGCACGTAGCATGTCTTTCTTGCCATGTATTGCTATAGTAATTACCTGGCCTTGAGGCTAAGTGGTGTGGATGGCCAGTGTTTTTTTTTCTTTTTCGCCACATTATTAGTGTTATTGACTGTGAGAAATATATATAGTGTGTCCTCTTGTCCTATATAGGTACTGGAGACTAGGTCTTCGGTGTACAACAAGCTCTGTAGAATACATGGGAAACTGGGTCTCATGAATATTCATGACCCTGAAGTGGCAGCAGAAATAGTGACTCAGCCTCTCATTTCGGCCACACTAGGAGGTCAGTGGGTGTGGTCTCAGACTAGTGATGATGTAAATGTTTTTCAATCCACAGAGGAAGTTCTTGGGCATGGAGAGAGTTCAGAGCAGGTGAATGTGTGTAGTTGAAAGGTCTACTACATGACTGCTGGTTTGTCTTGCCCTCTTTATATATAGAGTGAGGGTGAGGAATTGGAGAGCGACCAATCAGATTCAGAGTCTGACGTTGCCATGGACACAGAAGATCATAAACACCAAGACCTTACATAATGCTATTGTGACAAATTTATACCAGCACTTCAATAACACCAAAAACTGCACAAACTGATTACTATTTCTACTAGAGAATCAGGTGGGGGTGGTCAATGTTGGGAGACCTTTGACCTCCAGTAGTTAATGCCCACAAACGTTCCACTGAGACCGAGGAAGAAGAGGTAGAGAGCAGCTGCCCCCCAGCATGAGCTGCAGAGGGAGAGAGAATACAATATGACGAGGTGTCCTTACTAAGACTTTCAACTGATAATGTAAACCTCACTATGCAGCATTAGAGTAAGCCCTAGTGACATCATCCTCAGCAAAGTACTCGACATTGTTGAGGGAGCCTATGCAGTCATGATCCTTGTCTGTGCATTTGTGGAGACCCGTCTCTATGTCTTCAAACAGAGCCACCGCCTCCAGCTTGAAGAACACTCCCAGGAGACCCTGCACGCACACACACACACACACACACACTTGTGCTATCTATTGACAGAGTGGACTATTGTGAGGGTACAAGATGTTAGGTCTTTCAGTCCATTCACTGCTACAACACAACTAGTCCCTTCTCTCTCTCTCTTTCATACATTTCCTTGGAATAAGTCTCACTTCTCCATCTACCAAGCCAGACTAGATTACTGGACTAACTCACCAACATGATGACGCCCCACGTACTGACCACCAAACAACACAGGGAACACTTGGGTCCACAGATCGTGAACAGGATATTTCCTGCCGTGCTTCCTCCAGCCATCTGCACCACGGACCCCACCGTTCACTAGCTATACTGCAACACCAGCGAATGCATATCCTTACCTTCCGCAGCTCTCACAACTCGCTGGTTTCTTTCCCTTCGAACTGCTGAATTGAAACAGACGGGGTTTTAGGATATCATGTGACGTTATTATTCAGATTTGGTTCCTGTGTATAGGAATTGGCATCAGGAAGTGGGCGTGTCCGTAGCAACAATCTTAGCAACCAAACATGCCCGCGAAGAAAGGCAAAGGCAAAGGCAAAGGGAAGGGGAAAGGAAAACCGAAGGGAAAAGGGAAGGGGAAGGGAAAGGATAAAGATGGGTGAGTGCAGAGATAGTGAGAAGTTAAACTGAATCAGTGCTAATGGTTTTAGCAAACCCTCGGAAAAAATGGACAAAGAAATGGCACTGAAGCAGGCAGTGTCAGATGCAAAGTTGTGGGAGATGAGGTTCCAGGCGGCGGAGAAGTCACGTGAGACCTATCGGGAAAGTGGTCGCAGACTAGTGCAGGAGAATGAGCAACTTCAGTCAGCCATCAGCCAGGTATACCAGCATGTAGAGGGTGCTGTAAATGTGTAAGGGTAATAGAGTGTATTGCTACCTGCAAAAGCTATAGTATTGCATCTGACAGACAGAGAAGGACACAGTAAAGGTGATAGGATTCCTAAAGAAAGAAGGAGGAAAGAAGGAAGAGCAAGTGGCCTTGCTAGGAGGAGAGTTGGAGAAGGAGAAGGAAAAAGCCGCCAGGGAAAAGAATGAGATGGACTCACAGTTCAGGAGCACTGCGACTGAAATGGAGGAGCAGCTGCAAGAGAGAACAGAGGAGGTCAGCTGACCTAATGTGAAGATTTCACGATCAACACGTCCTCTGCAGCTGGCTGTGATTCAAGGGGAGCTCAGGACAGTTAAGGAGTTCAGAAAGCGTCGCGCGGAGCTTGAGGCTGAGCTTGCTCGCCTGAAACAGTCTCTAACTGACTCAGAACAAGACCACCAGAGAACTCTGCAGGCCCTCGAACAAAGAGTCTTTGAGGAAAAGGTAAGCTCCAAACCCCTCCCAAACAGTAGTCATGGCGACAGAGTGTGTCAACAGGTGAGGTTGCAGAAGGAGGCGAATCGTAGGATTGCTGAGCTGTCAGAGAGAGCTCACTGCGAGGCTGTGAGGTAAGCCATGTCCTCCTAGACTCATCTTCTTGATGTGGTGAGTTGGCAGGAACCTGGGAGAGAGGACGAGAGAGGTGTACCGTGAGAATCTCCAGATGAGTGAGGCTCTGGCTCTGCATGCAGCAAGGGTTCAGGAGTTGGAGACACGAACTGAACAGCTGGAGGCTGCTAACAGGTCCGGATTGATCAACTGGTGTTGAAGTTTATGTGCACTGTTTACCATTATTGTGCATTGCTACCTTTTTGTAGCATAACAGGTCCATCTTATGTCTTACGTACACAGGGAATTGGGAGTGGAGAGAGATCTTAGTGGGAAATTACTGGCCTCACGAGTACAGAGTGTGAAACAGTACCAACAGCAAATCTCTCTACTTCAGGTGTGCTTATTTGCAGAACGTTACCAGTGTTCTTATTGCCTATGGTTTCAGGAAAAGGTGTCTTCACTGGAGGCTAGTTTGGTGACGGTGGTGAGGGAATTTGATGAGGAGAGAGAGAAACAGGCATCCCTCATGCAGCGACTTCTCCAGGAAGCTCGGTATGTCCCTTTCCTCCTTCCCTCCCCCCAGGCCAACCCTCTCTCCATCTCCAGTGAGGAGACAGAGTCTCAGTGTTGCCGTGCCGACCGCGAGGCTGCAGAACTTGCTCATGTACGGAGCATGGCTCGCCGCATTCTGGAACAGAGGTCAGAGGTCGAACACTTCCTGTTGGAGGCTCTTCAGCAGGTGAAGAAAGAAGTGGCTGGTAACAGGTAAATTATCCTCCTAGCTCCACTCCAAGATGTACACAGTGAAACCCTCCAATCAGAGCGACTGATTAAAGTTATTTATGTTGACGATTTCAAGTGGCCTAAACACTAATTCCGAATTTTATTTTTTTCCGAGAGCTTCCTAGGTGGGATTTGCCCTCCTTCTGCCACTCATTTCTCAGGTCTCAATACTGTCAGAATGCAGCTGTGGCATACAGAACGAAGATTAGAGAGGCAACTCGAGGCCACACCCACTACCCAGCAGTGCGAACATTCAGAGCCTTTCCTGAGAGTACCAATAGTGTCTACCACGACCTAACCACTGCCTCTACATGGTCAGACACACCCATACCCCTGTACTTCCTCTATTGTGTGAAAACATCAATTAAAGACTATTGGAAGTGTCTTATACTCAGAATCTCGGATGCATTACAGTCCTTTTATACAGTCCTGTGTTTGGGAGAGGTTCCACTGTCCCTCTCTCTAATGCATGTACAATAGAGTGTGTTACCACATGCAGGGAGGGAGTGGGTGAGAAAGTGGACATCTCTGACTTGACTTGGGAACAGAAAGAACAAGTCCTCCGACTACTTTTCTCCAAGATCAATGAAACCACACCCACTCCTAAGCCACGCCCACTCCCACCCACCTCTTCACTGAGGTATAATATACATGTACAGCAATGCATGATTGACGAGAGAACAACTTTTACTAGCTGTGCTAATGAATGGGCACTTATTTACCCTGTTTCCCCCACAGCCCTCAGCCCCCTCCTCCCTCGAGGGACGTGTTCCTCACCCAACCGTCACAAACTCTCTAGCTCTACACTATCATATTGCAGAGTTCAACATTATTGTAGCCACCTGCAGTTCACATCTGCCTCCACCACAAATCAGATTATACCTGCATTAGGTAGGAAGTTAGAGACACATACAGTACACAATGGGTTTGAGATGATGTCATGACAGTTCACTGGTGTTGTGAGGTCCAGTCAGGAGGTCCAGATACATGTCTGACTGGACCATGGAGAACATTCAGGTGTCTTCCTCGACTCATCTGACGTGCTGCAGGCAAACACACCAATACTATCCTCCTCCAGTGAGGAAATATACACTGTGTGAAATCTTCAATGACTTTTTGGCATCAGTGGAAAATGATAATTTCACAGATTGCATGCATGGATCTCTTGCCAATAGGCAAACTGCCACATATTATTATAGAGTTCTTGTTTCTCCCTCAATGTGAATGCTGTGATGTGTTATTGTACAGGCAGGGGCAGAGGCAGTCAACAACATACACATACACACCGCCACACCAGCTCATAGCAATTTATTGCATCACTCTGTGTTGCCATGGACACAGCGGCAGGTGGGCTAATTACACCACTTTACAGGACATTCCACAATCTGGCGGCCCACAATCCTTACCTTCTTCGACACCCAGTTGGTAGGCAAGATTCTGAAGTCCTCTTATCTTCTCCATCAGCTGAGCCGGAGTCAGACAAGCCAGTTCTGTATCAATGACAACAGATAAACAAAGGAAACGATTGTATAACTAATGCTTACCATTGATGGAAGCCATGTCGTCCCTGGTAACATCAAGGAGCCAGTCAGGAGGAGCAGGGGAGAGATGCTAGAAGAGAAAGAGGAAGGTGAGTATAGAGGAGGAGGAGAACTGTCTCACTAGAGGATTGAAGTCTCCAACTGTGGGAAAGGAAGAGAGTGAGGAGAGCGGCGCACAAACTCACAATCCTTACAGAAGTGCTGCTGGTCTGGCCACATGACAGGAGAGTCGCTGCTGAGCCTCTCTGAGGACAGCAGGAGCTCCGTCTCACCTCCCTCCACTTGCCCGCCTTCCATTATAGCACCGCCCACCTTCGACGCGCATACGCTAAAAGTTAACACCGAATATTCAAGACAATTCTCGATACTACGTTCTCGTGCCTCTTCTGGATAAGTGTAGCGAGTCGTAGAAGTATCTTGCGTGGTAGGGGATGGCTCTATAAAATCTGGGCTGGTGGACTATGATAGCAAGCACTTGGTCTAACTGTCAGCAAACACCTCGAGCAGCGTTACCTCCAAACTGGGAGATGAAAATGGACCCCGTCAGTGGATGGCCGTTCTTTGTCAACCACCCAAACCGTCTGACTACCTGGCACGACCCTCGTCTCTCGAGCACCTGCCGCCCCTGGGCTCTAGCCGACCCAGAACCTAACTTCTTCTCTCCCTTTCCCGTGTCTTCCACCAACTGGAACTCTGATTTCTTCAGACCTGTGAACCGTAGCCCCAAGCCCCGTCACTCCCACCAAAAACCCCGTCATTCATCAGGTGTAACTAAACCTGCTGACACCGAGCAGCTAGCGCAAGTTTCTAACACCACTTCTCCTCTTTCATCGTCTGGAGTCCATGTGGAATACCCCAAACTAGAGGGCCTGTCACTGGAGCCTGCGGCCCCAGAGGAGCCTGGAGTTCATGAATCTTTGAAGAGCAGTGAACAGGAGAAGCAACCTGCGGAACAAGAGATGACTGCTGAACAAGAGGAACAGTGTGAGGAGAGGCCGCAGGCAGAGGTGGAAGCCCAGTTGATGAGAATCAGAGACATTGCTGCTCAAGTGGAGAGTCTTGAAAAAGAAGTTGTCTCATTCTCTGGGGAGGTTGGATCGAAGAGGTACATCTTCTTAGAGGAGAGCCTCATGAGCCAGTTACTGGCACTGGACTCAACTCAGACTTTTGGCCTGCAGCAGATCAGGTCTGCCAGGAAGAAAGTGACTACAGACATTCAGTATCTTTTAGCACAACTGGAGTCCCTAGCAGTTTCATAGCCTTTGTTCTGTCTTGTCCTGCTTATATTGCGTGTCGTGATTGTAATGTGACACTTGTATGACTGTGATATGTGTATTCACAATAAAGGTGTAGATCGCTTTCGATCGCGCGCTCATCTGCGCCGCCGCTACTTTCTCGTTATGCAACATCGTGCAATCGGGAAACTATATAGTTGGCCGGCATGCGCCGCAAACTATAGACAGCCGAACTGGAAAATGAGTGGTCAGCAGCAAACTCTGAATGTAGTACTTGCGGCAGTGCTAATATCTGTGGCCGCATGCAGTCCGCCGGGCCGCGCACCCCGACGCCTCGCACCATCTCCAGACCGGCCCATCTCACTGCGAGAACTCCAGTACTCGGTATTGCATATTCCAGGCCTTCTGGAAGTTTTCACTGGATTGTTTGCAATTATGCAGTGTTCAGTGCAAGGCTGGAGAAGTTGTTACCAAATGGCATCTGATCTGTTGAACGTCAATCATAGCCTCCATCTGTCAATCGCATCCTGCCTCAGTAACCCCAATAACTCCGCATACGAAACAAGGCCTTCCTCCAACACAAGTATTGGTAACAATACCAACTCTGACATTTTCATTCACTTTTTCCTTGTTGCAGATTCTACAGGGATAGAACAGATTGCAACCTCCAGTGATAATGGCTCAGGAGGTGGAGGATTTACTAGGAATGGCACAAGCAACAGCAGTTTGGCCGAAGAACCAACAGCTGCCGCGGAAGAGTTGAGATGCATTATCTCAGGAAGCAAAAAGGTTTCTTCTTTCTTTGCCCTATTTGCTACATAAACGCTCTGTTTATATAAACACAGAAACGTATTCGACGTGAAGTATACTGCGAGCTTCTGTTCGATTTAGACCAGGCAGTGAGGGTTATAGTGACACAGCTTGGCTTTTTGAGGGATTTAAACTGCATTCCCACGTATCCCGACCCTGGCTACCTCACCCCGCACCAACTCATCAACTCCATCCAACTCTGGCATGAAGAAATGGTCAGTTTTTCTAACACTTCTTCTGACGTTCTAAGTTATTATTCGATAATGCAGATTGAGACGCACAAGAGGTGTTGTGAGTCGGAGGATGAAACTAGCAGAATCTTCAGTCGAAATCTCAACCAACTGTATGCAACTGTGATAGCCGGAGAGTTTGGCATGCTATGCCCGTTATCAGTACCAATAATTACCTGGGACAGTTACCTGAACAAGCTTTCTCTTCTGATGTTCATGTTGGAGCAGATGCAGGAGGAATTGGGTCGGAGAAGGAGATGTCTCAGAGGCTGTGTCAGCGAAAACCAAGTTCTCTGCACCAATATACTCCCATACCTTTTCCTCCCTCTTTGAAGTTTACTGTGTACAAACCCTGCTTTTTTGATCTCATTTTGTATCTATATTATACCATCAATTATGTTATTGTTTTGCACAACAAATGCAAATTTGAGTGGTTAAGACACACACACGAAGCAGAATGCCGGAAATCCACAGAGTATTCAATGGCAGAGCATATGAATTGGAACTCTGTGGCATGCTCTAGCTGAGTATTATATATATGTACATGGTCTCTGGAGAGAGATCAAAGCTTAAGAATATAATAGTAGAGTCACCAACCTGGATGTGGTTTGAAATCGAGAAATGGGGCTTTTTTGCAAGTATGCAGAGGAGTGCCATAATGGTATAATTGCTCCTTGGATGTCGGCCCAAGTTCAGCCCTAGCCCTCCTACCCAGCAAGGCTGCCATGAGGAGGAAAATGTGTGAGGTTCACGCGTGATGTATCATAATCTAATGCTGGTCGTGATACTGACAACTGATATCCAGGTAAAGTAGCAATGAAGACAGCTGCGTGGGGCATTGAAACTCCATCCAGGAGGAGAGAAGTGTCCTTCCAGCTGTCTAGTGTCTGATCCTCATTCCTGTGACTGTTGGTTACGTTTTATTGCAAAATTGTAAGCTTTCATCTTCTGTCAAGGTCAATTGATCAACCTGCAACCTGAGGCAGAAAAACAGCTGCCAACCTGCCTGCAGGCTATTCCTGTTAGCTGTGACCCCAGTGTAAGGTGTTGGGTAATGACAAACAATTCCACATATGGTGCTTGAATGCTGGCCTTGTCTATCATCCCCACTTCAAACCCTGAGGGCACGTGTCTGCTAGTCACATCTGTGGCTGCAGATGCTGGGTCAAAGACAGACTGAAAACGAAGCAGGAAATAGTCTTTAGTTTCACCAACCAAAACACGTCTTCTGCAGCAACAAAAGCTTGTTTTGATCTGTGTAGTCTCAAGCCTGCACGGAAGGTTCTTCCTTTTGTACCCACCTTCTCCTCGACCCCTAGTCAGGTTTCAATTTTGTGTTGCTGTCTGACAGACACCACAACCTCGCCGTAATTGCCTTGCTTCAGGCAAGACCACCTGTGCTGCAGTCTGGCTGCAGCTCAGTCACCAGTCGACAGCAATCATCATAATTATCACATAATAAAACGACTGGATATAATAATTATAATTATATGAGATGGAATTCACACCATACAAACAATGCTGATGGTGTTGTATACCATAGTTATGTGGCAACAGGTGCCAGGAAAACTGACAAAAATGTTGGGATTCTTAGTCTGGCAATCCATTACTACTAAATGTGATGGATTGTATATAGTCCAGCGCCATAGCCCATTCACCGCCATGGGCTGGTCATCGGCACTTGGCCCTCTCACTACAACCCTCTTGACAGAATCACATAATTGGCATTCTTGTTATTGTTGCCATAGGGACAATGAATAATACATTCAATATTACATCCACACACAGTATAGAATGGTACAACAAGTGTCGCTAAGAAGGGTTGACAAGAAAGGTCCACAGGAAAGATAGAACTCCTCCGCTAAACAGGCCCCCGGAGAGGAAGAAGGCCATTATTGTTGATGCCGTCTCCTTCTCGTCCTCCCGCACCTTCTGAGGGGCTGTGACCATGGCAACAGAGCCGAGGTATCCATTGGAGATTCCGAAGAGTGCGACAAGGAAAATGGGGATGATGTCATACTCGGGGAGATGGCTGTAGGTGGGGATTCCCCTCTCACCCTTTACCTGCCAAGGACAGCAGAGCTCAGTTAGTCTAGTATTATACTAGAACAACACATTATTGGCAAGCTAAACAAGTAGTTCAACATTTCAGTGTTTTTGCGCATATTTAAAATTACGTCAACATTATGGTATGTGCAGTCCGTGTACCATTACAGAGGATGTACTAATGCAAAAATCCTGCATTCAGACAACAAGGGAGGCCCGCTATGCTCGGCAATTAAAAGCAAGCAGACAAAATTATTGGATGTTGGCTTTATACCTAGCTCACAAGACTTAAGTATAGGCATTATAATTTACTAGGAATGTGCACACGCCTATTATTGCCTCGCGTCAGCCAGCAAAAGCGCCGATACACGCACGTGCAGAAACGGGCGCACTTGATGTTTGTCACACTAAAACATTCCCAGGTGCAGGTATAATGTATAATATGTGCATAAAGTAAGAAGAAAATGGTGTTGCAGTCTCCGTGTTGTTTGTTCGACTTTGTCTCTTTGTGTTGGACTCTTTCAAACGTGTTGCACATACCCAAGAGCCCCCCTTATCACCGACAAAAGGACTTCTTGTGTTACGAATCTTATGAGTGATTAATTGATGTGTTGGACACGTACATACGCATTGGCGAGAATTTAGTTGCCTGGCGCAAATTATGTTAGTTTTGACCAAAGTGTTATAATTCTACCTGGACATTGCAGAAGAGGAAGGCTGGAATGAAGAGACAACGAAGAGCTGTCATCAGCAGCAGGCTTCGCCGACCACTCCCTACCTGCTCACCAGAGAACCGTGGTAACCATGGAGACCACACGCTATGAAAGTAAGCCTACCTGCACCCAGTGAGTGATGTAACGACCTGTCAGGTCAGCCACGTTGAACATTAGGAAACACACCAGAGTTGAGTAGTACACTCCTACAGGATGAGAGAGACGGAGAGACAGGGATGGAGGGGTGGAGGAGGGGGAGCTCACCAGTCCAGCTGGAGTGGCTGGGGTTGGGTGCAGAGGACACCACTTGAGATATGACCGCCGGGAAGAGACTTATGGTGACAGTAAAGACGAGATACACACTCACCGCATACCACACAACCTTATGTAACATTTTCCACACACGTGAGAATTCCCCAGCGAAACAGACATACCTTACGCATAATTGCCAGGTAGGATGGTCGAACTATGACCCTTGTTTGAAGAGAGGCATCCACTACCTTCTGTTGTTTCTGTCTCAACACCTGCACGCTGGTCTGCTGCAGGTAGTGGTCCACAAATGGCTGTGTGTGAAGAGAGAGAGTCCCACTGCGTTCAGAATCCTTCTTGTTGTGTTCTACATACTTTGCGATAAACTTTGTACACTTATGCCTGGCCCAGAAGGTTTGCGCTGCACGTCAAAGTGAGTTCGTTTCCCGGGCTCAGCTCATTGAGTGCACACAGTATACAGAATTTTCATGAATCAGCAGTTTTTAATGTTACGTGACATTATTATTTTGCTGATTGAGGCTTACACGCGTGTCAAAACAGTGGTGTCATATTATTACAGTATTACTGCCTCTTGAGATGTGTTCGAAAGCAGTACACCTCAACTCACCATTTTACTGAGGAGGAAGACTGACGCCAGGCAGAGGATAAGTACGACACAGGCCAGAGAAAAGTAGCCATAGGCACTGTCAGTGATTGGACTCTGCTCTCCGTGAACACTGCTTGATGCCACCTGAGACAGTAGGCTGGCCACTGCTGCAAACACCCCTGCTACAGCCTGTAGTCGGTGGGTGGAGTCAGCCACACCCACCACATCCCATGAACCTCACCTGACCACTCATGACAGCTGAGGTGTAGCCATTAGGAAGAATTCCAGCAAAGCCAAATGTGGAGGACTGGAAAATGGAGGATGCTGCGTTCATGAGGAACACTGTCAGCAGTGTAATGGCAAAGAACCCGTCTGTCCCTGGAGAATGGGGGTGTGGCTGGTGGGTGTGGTCAGAGAGGAGTGGGGAGCTCACGTACATGAGTGACACGAACGCCAACCAGAGCAGTGGTGATGAGGAAGAGAGTCAGCATCACCACCAGAGAAGCAACCATTCGCAGTCGGTAGTGGAACCTGTACACAGAGAAAGTGATGGAGGCTTCGCAAGACAAGACAGAGAAATGACTTACCTGCTCTGCAACCAAACGTTGGCAGCTGACATGACAAAGATTGGCACCATAGACGCCACACTGAACCAGTTCTCGAAAGTGGAATTGAACCCATAACAGTCAGTGTTTGTTGCCATGGGGACAGGTAAACTTTGCCTGGAAGTACTGAGGGTAGAGTGTGACATGACCAGAGTATAGAGGACAGAGGCAGTTCTGACCAGTTGCGCCGTGATGAAGAAGTTCCAGGGAAGCAAATGGCCGACTCCGTGCAGGAAGAAGATGCAGTAGGCAAGACGGCACGTGTCCGCTGGGGCCGAGGGCCGCGGGCCCAGCAGAGAGTCTCTCTCTGTTCTCTCTTTGAACGGTAGGATGTTGTCGGCATGGAGAGGCTTATCTCTACTGCTGGCCATTCTTCTTCCCTGCTGCGCTTGCAGCAGCTCGATAAACTGCACAGGCCACCGCCTACTACATATCACGCGCCGCGCAAACCACGCATGCGCAAACCCGCTAGCGCAAACCAATAACCGTTCTGCAAAGACAATCAGATTGCAGCGAATTTTACTTACAAAAGTGCATGAACTCATCTACCCAAGTGTGTGTAAGACGAATTTGGTCACTTGAGAGTGGGGAAGACAGTGGCAGGTGTGGCGTCAGATACGTCTTCCTCCCTCCACAGACTAGTGACGGTCTTGGTCTGCGTGTAGAAACTAACACCCTAGGGAGGAAGGGGGTGTGGCCTCGGCACACAGCACTGTATCACAGGCTCACCTGTTTCCCATAGAAGTTCATGTCTCCTCTGAAGGAGGCTCGAGAACCAGTGAATGAGAACATGGGAAGTGGAACTGGGATGGGAACATTGACTCCAACCTGCCCCACGTCAATCTTGGACTGGAATCTGCGTGCAGCTGCCCCTGACCGGGTGAAGATTGCTGTTCCATTGCCATAGGGATTGCTGTTGATGATGTCAATGGCCTGAGAGGGAGGCATTCATCCACGTCGCCATTGACAATGGACTCAGAACAATACAGTACATCTCCACACCTCGTCCAGTGTGTCTGCTGTCATAGCAACCAGGACAGGTCCAAAGATCTCCTCGGTGTAGCAGGTCATGTGAGGTTTGACGTCTGTCAGAACGGTTGGTCCTACAAAGTTTCCCTTCTCGTAGCCAGGCACCACGATATCCCTTCCATCAAGTGCAAGCTGCACACATGCAGTGCCACTAATAAAAATGTCACTGATATAGAGAGAGCTGACCTTTGCACCCTCGTCCACCCCACTCTGCACGAGGTTACACACTCTCTCTTTGGCGTCGGGAGAGATGAGAGGTCCCAGATCTGCTCCCGCCTCTATTCCCGCACTCACCTTCAGTTGTTTGGCTGTAGTCATGGAAATAACAGATAACAATACAAGGCCACACCCCCTGCTCACCTTTCTCCACCACTTCTGGCAGCCACTCCTTTGCTTTCCCTACAAATATGGCAGTGGAGAGGGCCATGCAGCGCTGACCGGCTGCACCAAACGCCGCTCCAACCAACTGAGGAGATAGACAATCAACAAACAGACATACATGTAGCTGTATATTGTACCTGGTTGATGGTGTGTTCCTTGTTGGCGTCAGGCAGGATGACTCCATGGTTCTTTGCTCCCATGTTGCTCTGGACTCTCTTCCCATTCCCCGAGCCCCTCTCATAGATATATTGACCGACGCGGTCAGAGCCCACAAACGATATAGCTCGAATTGAGGGATGGTCACATACAAAGTCCACAGCTGTAACAAGAAAGTCACATCATGTGCTTAGCCCTGGCGCAAAAGGGGTGTGTAGAAGGGGGAGAGTGCTGAGTCTGCACCTACGTTCGTGCATTTCTGGCATTTTGTGGGGAGTGATGCACTCAATTCAAGGCAGACTCACCTTCCTTCTGGCCATGGATGATGTTGAGAACTCCATCAGGGAGACCTGCATCTTGAGCCATCTCTGCCAGCATGAGAGAGGCCCCAGGATCCTGCTCACTTGGCTTCAGGATAAATGTGTTTCCTACCACTGTAGCCAGCGGAAACATCTAGGAGATGAGGGGATATGAGGAGGAAGGAAAAGGAAGTGAGATAGATACCCAGAGTGGGATCATAGCGGGGAAGTTGAAGGGACAGACTCCAGCACACACACCCAGAGGTTCGCGATAGGTGTAGGTGTCCATGTCCTTCGTGACAGAAGAGAGAGTTTCCCCGAGATGGAGGGATGTGATAGAGCATGCATGCTCCACCACCTCTGAGGGGATGCGTGCGTGTGAGCCACAGTGGACACAGAGATCACAAACACTCACGCAGTCCTCTCATCACATCTCCCTCCGCATCAGCCAGCGTCTTCCCTTGTTCCAGAGTAATGTTCTTCGCCAACTCTCCCTGGTGAAGATCACATGACAATCATGTTGTGCTCATCAACAGGGGCCAACTCTACTCACCATGTTGTCTCTGATGATGGCCTGCAGTTTGAACATGACTTGTTGTCTGGTCATCAGACTGGCCTCAGTCCAGTCAGAAAAGGCCTTCTGGGCCGCCTCTGCCGCTGCGTTCATCTCCTCCTGTAACCCAATGCTAGGGAGTGAGTGGGGCAGGCACAGTACTGCATACCTGGGTGGCGCAAGGGACGCGAGAAACCACCTCCAGCGTCGCAGGGTTGTAGTTGTTGATCCATTTGTCAGTCTTCGAGTCCACAAACTTCCCTCCAATCAGCAGTTTGGCCGTGGGCTGAGCAGAAACGAGGGTTTGCTGGGGTCTCGGAATACTCGCAGTGGCAACCACTTACCGCTGCACTGCTAAGCGCCCGCACGCCAGTCCTGAGACCCTGGGAGATGAAAACACAACGTGTACAGAGGTAGACTTGTGTGAAGTAGCTCTTTACCTTTACACACTGCACAGCTCTAGAAGACAGCATCTTGTTGGCCGGGGGTGGTCCCGGTGCGTGCGTTTACTGCCGACCGTCTGCGCATGCGCACACTGGTCATTGCGACATTGTGTGTGACTGGGGTGTATATACAATCGTCCACTGTTTGTCTGGAGACGTGGAACTCTCATCAACTGAACACTTATTGTCTGTGAATAAGATAACAATGTCATTGGCCATGCAGTACATGTCACTTTTTCCTGCAGTTAACCCTAATGATAATGACATGGCTAAAAAATAATCAGACATTTGTTTCTAAATTGAGTGTTTGTTGGCTTTCGAGGATGACATCATCATCACTATGCTGTAGACTCCTCTGCTGAGCCGCCCACATGTCAGCATACATTCCTCCGAGAGTCAGAAGGTGGGTGTGGCTTCCTCTCTCCACTATCTCTCCTTCCTGTGGGACAAGTAAAATGTTTAAACAGTCTCATTCCCAGGCCCGAATCATTGTGGCACAGTGCACCGCCGCGAAGAGGCAATGTGACATACTATGAACCCAGCCTAATACTGAGTTGCAGACCTTGAGCACCAGTATCTGGTGAGCATGGATGATGGTTGAGAGGCGATGAGCCACGATGACTGTGGTCCTCCCCTCACACACTCTGTCCAGACTGCTCTGAATGTGCCTCTCTGTCTCGGTGTCCAGAGCTGAGGTGGCCTCGTCAAGCAAGATAATGGCCGGCGCCTTCAGGATTGTGCGGGCAATGGCTACCCTTTGTTTCTCCCCACCACTCAGCTTCAGCCCCCTTTCTCCAACCATTGTGTGATACTGACTGGGGAAACCAAGGATTCTTGTGTGGATGTCAGCATATTCCGCAGCCTTCTCTGCCTCTGAAACTGTTGCCGTGGTGTTGCCATAGCGAACGTTGTATCGGATGGTGTCGTTAAAGAGGACAGTATCCTGGGGGACCACACCAATCCCCTGTCTCAGTGAGTGCTGTTGCACTCTTTGTATGTCCTGGCCATCGATGGAGATGAGACCATCCTGAATGTCATAGAACCTGAACAGCAGTCGGATGATAGTGCTCTTGCCAGCTCCACTGGGACCCACTAGAGCCACCGTTTGCCCTGGCTCCACACAGAATGACACATCTCTGAGGATTGGCTTCTCAGGCAGGTAGTGGAAGTAGACGTTCTTGAACTCTAGTCTGCCAGCAGAAATGAAGAGAGGCAGGGCAGAGCTGGCGTCTTTCACCTCTGCCTCCACCTCAAAGAGGTCAAACATATTCTCCATGTCTACAAAGGCAGCCTGAATCATCCGGTAGTAGGTGCCGAAGAAGTTGAGAGGAGCATAGAGCTGCAGGATGTATGTGCAGAACAGAACGAAATCTCCAACAGTGAGAACACCCTGAGTGACACGATAGGCACAGAGGAGAGCCCCGAACAGCAGGCCAATAGTGATGATAACATTTTGTCCAGAGCCAAGCACATTCAGCGAGGCCAGGCTCTTCCACTCTGCATCTTGGTAGCCTTCTATTGCAGTGTTGAACCTGTTGACCTCATAGGCCTCTGCTCCATAGTATTTGACAGTCTCAAAGTTGAGCAGAGAGTCAACAGCCTTGGCACGAGCTACATTGTCTCTCTCGTTCATGGCTCTGCGGAACTTAGTTCTCCATTCGGTTACAGAGATGGTGAAGAGAATGTAGCACAGCATAGTGGTGAACACTATCAGTCCAAACCACACGTCAAAAGCCACGACAAAGAAGATGATAGCGATGCCAATGTCCACCAGAGTGGGACCAATGTTGAAGAGAATGTAGCTGAGGATGTTGTTGATGCTCTGGGTGCCTCTGTCCATCACTCGCAGGACCTCTCCCGTCTTACGTCCGAGGTGCCAGCGGAGAGAGAGTGAGTGAAGGTGGCTGAGGACGTCCACTTGTAGCCTGCGACTCGTAAACTGCTGGACTCTAATCCACAGGAAGCTGCGGATGTTGTTAGCGAGACCCATGGAGCCTACAGAGCCTCCCTGCATGAAGCGGAGGAGGACGTAGATGATGATTGAACCAAGAGGAAGGGTGAGCCCAGTTTGAGGAACAACTATGTGTATCTGCGAGTCTACACTGTCGACAGAGGAATTGGACGTAAGCCCATCAACTATCTTCTTGTAGTAGACTGGGACAAACACGTTGATGACCCGCACAGCCACGAGAATGATGAAACAGACAGCCACCCTCAACTGCAGATTTGGGTGACCTCGAGGCCACACGTATGGAAAGAGCAGCTTCACTTTGCTCCACAGGTCAGAGAAAGCAGAATTGGTTCTCTTCTGCACAAAGCTGCCCTCTCGTTGTTGGGTGTGTCGCTGATTGTGCTTTGTTGTTTCTATGGCGTCAGAGTTCACCAACAGGGAATAGGTCTTCCGTGAAGGTCTCAGTAGAGGCCAGACCACACTTACCGCTAGCAGGGAGATGAGGAGGAAGGACTGAATGCAGTAAAGAATGAGTTCGGGGAGGTCTGTCCTGGAATGAAGGCCCCACCACCAGTGAGGATTGCTCCAACCTAAGATCTGCAGTGCCTGCCACACGCCTGACAGTGTCCAGTAAACCACAAGCCACACCCCATGACTGCACCCCTTTATCAGCCTCAGTCGCTCTCTGTACGCTACTACCATGGAAACCAGCCAGGACAAAATCCCTAGACCATCCTGGAGAATGGTGTAGCCATATAAGGAGTGCCTCAGCCAAGTGAACAGAAGATGAGCGGCAGAGGAGAGGACAAGGAGGAAGGAGAGGCTCGGAGTGAGAAGAAAGGAAGAAGAGAATGGTAGTCGATGAGGGTGAGAGGCAGGTTTTCTCCCCAGGACGGCTGCAGTGGCGCTGGACACCAACAGGACCCCCGCGCACACCAGAGAGCCCACAACTTGCAGAAAGCAGCGAGATATTCCTCCGTGGCCCCACGCCACCGAATACGCCTCTCCCTCTTCACAGAACGGCAACATAATGGTGCCTCTCGCCAAGTCGTCGACCGGAAACAAAACTCTAAATGAAGCGCACCTAGTAGGTAGTCAATGCTGTTTACATTCCTGGAATACTTGTCTTCCTAATGACGAAGGACAAAGGCTGATCACTACTAATAATTTCTTAAATCTGTCGCTAATTCTTGTTCTTGGCAAGAGGGAGTCCTAAACAAACCAGCTGGTGGGT